TTTCGTGATAGCGGGTACACCTTGCAGTCCACTGCTTTGGAACCGGGTTTGAGCTCAATCGCATGATCCCAGGTTCGTCGGTCCGGTAGTGAGTCGAATGATTCCTTGGCAAATACTTTGACAAATTCCCGGTATTGATCCGGAATTTTCCCTTCGGTCATCCTCTCCTTCTCTTTTTCCGCTTCTTCTGCGAATTTCTGCGCCGGTGTTTCCTTCAGCCGTAGATCCACCTCCTTTCCAAAGTCGATCAGCAGGATCGATTCTCCCTCTTCCAGATCCGGTGCGCTTGTGTCCAGGTCGATTGCATCCATGTCAATCATCGCTTGGTGTTCCTCGTGACCCCTCATGTGACACCGTTCTGGGCATCGGCTGAATCTCATTGTTTGCTCCTGCCAATCCACCTCCGGGTTGTGTTCCGTCAGCCAGTCAAGACCAATGAAGATCCGGGCCTTCCCTAAGCACGTCAGAAGGAACGTGCGTGTCTCCACGTGAGGACCGATTCTCATCCTTAGGTCAACGTAATGCGTGATCCGGCCGCTGATGTTTTCGGTGTTGTCGGCGTTACGAGCCACAATGGGTTGGGGAAGTTCTTGGATATCCAGCTTCTCTGCCCGCGCGTAGTCGGTATCGATGCAGCAGGTGCTACAGCCACTGTCGAGTAGCGCCTTAACTCCGCGCGTCTTTCCTGAGTCCAGGCCTGTGATCTGGACATATACGTCCATCGAATGTCTCTTCCTTTCGGCCTGGTAGTTGCGCAATTCCTGCGCCAGTCTGTTGGGTTGGGGGCCCTTCTGTTTCTCGGCCGCCAATTTCCTTTGAACGGCATCTGGCACCCTTGTGCGTTTGGGTACTTCTGGAACCTTGATTTCGGCAGATTCCTTGGGCGCTTCCTCCTTTTTCAAGGATTGAGCCTCCGGAGCGATGCTCCCCTTTTCGGTCTTTGTTGACGTGGTTCCTTCTCCACGAGCCATAAATACGTAGGAGTCCAAAATTAATTTATCCGCAGCTTTCTGATCCTTTTTACTTTGTAAATACTCTCTATTTAAAACTATTTTTCTTTGTCGTTCCTTTTCCATATCAGCAATGAGAAAATCATGAATATTGGTACGTAATGAGTCCGAGATTGTATATGTATGTGTAGAATCGTTCATGTCTTTAATCGAAACAAGTACAGAAAAACGTCCATAGTCCGGACGCTCCACCTCCTTGGCTAGAGGAGTGGAGCGTTTCAAAAACCCTTCTCGCGCAGCTTCTCGGCGATCTCCTTCAGGAACTCGTTGTCCTTGTCCCCGTTCTCGATCTCTTCTAGCATTGTGGCCCAATTGAAGAACGTGCGCTTCTTCTTGGGCTCAGGGCAGTTCCGCGCAATGTGCCCAGGCTGCTGACAGTTGTAGCAGATGATATTGCGGCCACGGGCGTGGGTGCGATCGATCTCCATCGGAACCGGCTCATTGGCCGCTGGTCGGGCCGGAGCGGGTGCAGGTGCTGATGGTGCAGCCTGAGAGCGGAATTGGGGTGGGGGCCGCGGAGTTGAGTGCGCATAGGATGCCTTACGCAGCTGATCGCGCAAGGCATTGGCCTCGATGTTGACGCACCAGTTCTTGAAGGCACCATATGCCTTGGGCAGGGGGACGCCGGTGTTGTAGAGGCGGCTTGCAATTTCGCTGCTGAGTCCGCGCTCGAGGAACTCGATGAGGATGTTGTCCTGATCCCCCTTCTTGTACTCGCCCTTGTCATCGATTGAGGCGACCACGTTGTACCCCGCGTCCGCAGCCAGCATTTCGAAGTCCGAGATGTAGTCCGCGAAGGACTGTCTCCCCTGGCGAAGGGCCATGAGTCGGGCAGCGGCGACTTGTTCTGCGTTAGAATCCCCAAAGGCTTTTTGGAACTCCTCCAAGAAGGTTGTCGCGGTGACCCCCGCCTTCATTCCTTGGAAACCCTCGAAATTGTGCTGTTTCCAGTTCATCGCCCATCTCGAGGCGGCACAGCTTGTGCTGGTCTCATTACGGAGGTAGGACAGAACAAAGAGGATTTTTGTCTCATCCAGCGAGAACTCCGATCGATAGGCACCGATGTAAGTGGTGCACGCGTCTACAAAGCCCAGGTATTTGGACTTGTCGCCATCGAAGTAGGGGGGGTTGGCAGCGAGGGTGATGCGGTGATGTCCTGACATGGTAGGAGCAGGTGCAGTAGGTGGGGGCGAGGGTGGTTGTTCGGAGGGTAACTCGCCAAGGTCTGGGATCTTGTCTTCAGGCGGCGGGAGGGCAAGGTAGGGGTTGGAGGGTCCGGGTTCGTTTTGATGCGCCAGATCGGGCGACGATGGTATGATGGGGGGAGGGGATGGGCTCCCAGATGACGATGGGAATCGGTACGAAATGGTGGATTCGTGTGCTGTACAAGCACTCGAGGGAGGGTTCTTTTGCTAGCAAAAAGATCCCGGGCCTAGCTCTTCACGTGCCCGATGATCCCGAGGTGCGTTTTCCCGAAGGTCTCCGCAGCACTCCTTGTAGCTACCGTAAGGCTTGGGTCGGGCTCAACGTTACCCGTGGCCTGGTGCTGTTTGCTCGATATGAACCTTTCACTGCGATCGCAGCGAGCGACTAGATGATTCGGTAAAAGGGTGAGTGGGGTGATAAGGGTGAAGAGGATATAGCGGGCGTAGCGGTGCACGGAGCAGGGTAGGAGGTAAGAGGTACGAGGGTATGAGGGGAGTCTTCGAATTATGTGACAATCAACCCAAAAACAAAGTTGAAAAGAGAAGTGAATTCGAAGACTGGAGAATACAACCAAATAGCTACAGTATTTATACTCAAATCCAGTCTGAGTCATATCTACAACTAATGAGTCATAGGGCTATGTACCGCATGGAGCACTGGTCATGGGTTGTAGTAGAACCTTCCGGAGCATATGTCGCGCAGCCTCGAATCGATAGAGATAACCCCTGGAACCCCTAGCCCGGACCGTCTGATGCCGTGATCCGTGATAAGATAAGTCGTGCCAAGATAAGATGAAAAAGAGTCGAATTATGACAGCAATCATCCTTGCTGTGGATGGTGTTGACTTTGAACATGTGTGTTAGGGGAACCCCCACTTTGGACCAATCAGCCTGGGATCTGGCATGTGATTGTGCTTGTGTGACCTGTCAGCTGTCATGTGCAGTGGCCTGGACTGCTGTGCCAAGCGCTTCTCCTTGATGGCAGTTGTGCCATTGTTCCTACTGTCTCTGTCCCCATTGTTCTGTCATGGCCATTGTACTTGTTGTTCCTATTGTTCTTCTTTGTTGCTGCACAGTCTATTGTTCTTGTATCATATAAATAGTGGGCACCTGGTAAGGAGAATCCCCAACACAGTTTTTCTTTGGATTCTCCCCTGCCAGGTATGCCGGTCTTGTACCTAGCTACCACATTTATTCACTTTGGATTCTCCCTTGCCAGAACTCTGAGATTGGGTCTTGAGGTTGCCCTTACAATGTGTTCTTCTGGGATCTTTTGAACAACATACTGGTTGAAGGAGTGTATGGAGTCTGAAGCTTTGGCAAGAACATACTAGCAGCCATGAAGACAAGTTTGTAGGGCAAGCAACTACTGATGATTGATAACTCCATTGACAACTTGGAGTTCCAGATAGAAATAGTTTCAAATAATCAGAAACCTGTTTATAAACACCTCTTGTTTACAAACCAGGTTTATAAACATGTTTATACAGTAGAGTTGTTAATATGGAATAATTTTGGGAAGGCCCAGGCCATCCCAGATTTATATTCCTCATCACGGATATTCCATATGAGGTGTGGAATATGGTGGTGAAGGGCAAAACAAGATGGCCAAATTGTATTCCTTATGACCTATATTCCTTATCACCATATTCCATATGAACAATTCTACTGTAATTGCCTGGGAATTGTACACAGAGCCCCACGCTGGGAGCCTGTTGTGCACACCATTGTGACTAACCCTGCACTTGTCACACGGTGCAGGTGAGTGCCCCTGTATTTGATTGCATTCCAGCACATTGATGTGCCTCAAAGAGTTTGGACAGGTTTGGGTGCATCCACGGGGCAGTGAACCCTTCAGTAAACTTTTCACGGGAGTCTAAACTCAAAATTGCCTTCAACAAGGCATTGGATGCAAAAATATATCGTGGATTACTTTATTATGAAGGTGATATTTGCCTTGCGCTCTGCAAATACCAGAGCCTGCATCAGATCGTGGTTACCTCTCAGTCCATAAATTGTATATTCAAACGGGCGTGTCAGTGTCCTGACAAAGAAGAATATTGCAGTACATATGGTTGGGCTCACAACACTTGCGGACTATGCTGCAGGTGTTGAAGCGCGTTTTAATCTTTCAAAGACCCTAGAGCTGCTGTTCTGATTCAGAACGCGGCCCGGATAGCAGTGTTTATGTCGTAGCCCGCGTCTCACCCGGATGGCGGTCAGAGACAAGGAACAAAACTCCCGAATCCTTGCACTAACAAATGGACAAATAGTTGCAGACCCCATCTTAACAAGCAGAGCTCTGGCCCGCGGAAAGGATCAATGGAGAGCCTACACAAATGATTACCCGGTTGACAGCATTCGCAGTCGGAGACGGAGGCGAATATTGATCAGCGAGGCAAACCTAGATTGTGCGATTACTCAACCGGCTTTGGACGGGTCACCTCGGACCTTGACCCAGACCGCAGCCTTAGAAAGCCAACGTAATAGGTCTACTGTCAGCTTAGAGATGGTAATGATTCCGGGTTCATGAAAAATTTACATTTGCTGTGAGACCATCTGAAAGAAGGCTTCTTTCTTGGTAGTCGGCACCTCACGAACTCCCCGTAAGGATCACAAGAATGACACGACCCATCGTACGTCAGCGACGCTGACAGATTGCGGAGAATTCGGCAGGCTGAACGGCCCCAGCTGTCTGTCTGCTTACCAGCTTCTTGCTGTTCTTCCTGTAAACACCGGATTAATTCCCCGAGCATAAGAACTGGGATGGACGAAGTTACTACCGCACACATCTACCTATGCCCCGCCGACACATTCTGACACTGCTCGCACCGGCGTGGGGCCACGCTCTCCCCTACATCCATCTGACCACGCGCATGCTGGCCCAGGATCCAGAGCTGGTCGTCACCATCGTGCAGCACAATTTGATTGGTGGGGCGTACAAATTGCGACGAGGCATCCTCTGATATCCAATCCAGTGCCGAAAATGCTGAAGGAGCTGGGTGGCTGCACCTATGATCAGAGCAGGCTCAAGATCGAGGCTGTTGGCGACGAAGAGTATGTTGGTTTGGCGCCGCTCTTGTTTTCTTCACGTGTAAATATGATCGTCAACGCGCAGAATGAAATTCACACAGGCACTCATCGGTACAGTCTTAGAGGAACTGGGTGGTAAGTGGCTAGAGACTCTCACAAAGGCTGTCGGCGGCGCTGGGGAATCCGCCTGGCCCAGGCCCTACACTGTCCATGTGCGTTCTGACCAGAGTGGACGGCCGTTTTCATTCCCAGTCACCGGCGCTGATCTGAGCACAGATGGATTTCTTCGGAGCCGGGTTCGTCGCTGCTCCCACGAAAGCCTTGCTGGGACCCGGAGGCAAGATTGTGATGTGGGGTTCTTGCGGAGTCAACGCTATTCCGGACCACTTCAGCGACTATAACTTTACCGACATCACGCGGGAAATATACGCGGACGAGTCGCGCCGTGGGGGCAGGTCGATGGAGGACATTCTCGATGATGTGCGGCCTCATTCTCGGTAGAATGTCGGCGAGCTGACCCACCGGCTCCGGGGCAGGTTACATCCGCATGGAACGGCAGCGACAAACTCGACGGGCGCACAATCAAGATCGTTGGTTCATTGGAGATGTACGACCACGAGCACGTGGCACGCGGTGCCGGCGGTCCTCATGGGCTAGGCTCTGTGCTTTCCTCTGCACAGGATTGCACCCGGATTGCAGATGCTATTCTCTGTCCTACCAGCAGTGCGATGGAACCCATCGCGGCCCAGTTCTGTCGAGAGTATTATCACAAACGCGGTCAGGAGCTCTTCCTTGTGGGCCCGCAGATGCACGAAAGGGACTGGAGCACCCGGTCGGCGGGTCCTGGCCCGAGCGAGGAGCGAATCAAAACTTTCCTAGACAACGCACGGGAAGAGTTTGGACCGGGTTCCGTGCTGTATATCTCATTTGGGTGCGTTTCTGCACGCTCTGTCGAGGCATTCGGACTGAATCAGGGCGTGGTTCAAGTTCCCTCTTCTTCCCGCTTGCCACTCCGCACCTCGTTGAGGTCATGGTGGACGTCCTTCTTAAGTTAGAAACCCCTCTTCCGTTTGTGTTCGTTCTTGCGGGAGCGATGGCCTCTCTGCCTCAGGACACTATCGATCGAATACACGCCAGCGGGCGAGGTCTAGTGTGCGATTTCTGGGTCGATCAGAAGGCGATCGTGCAGTGCGGCACAGTCGGATGGTTCTTGACCCACGGCGGTTACAAGTCAGCTTTATATCTCTTTTCGGCATTGGAAGAACTAATCAGACTCTTACCGCAGCTCGTTGACGGAGTCCCTAAGCCAAGGAATTCCACTTATCTTCTGGCCCGTCGGGGCAGAACAGGCCGTCAACGCTGCGATGCTTTCAACTGGACCCATTCCAATTGGTATCGAACTCTTTCAAGTGAGCACTGATAATGGGCTCGTTTCTCCCTCAGTCCTATAACTCACGGGCACAGATTCGAGCTGGAGAGCAGCTGGGACCGTCGCTTCGTTCCGATGCACCAAAAAATATCACTGGCACAGTCGAAGACGCACGAGTTGAATTCGAGCAGACTTTCGAAGCCCTCAAGGGCGCTCGAGGGAAGAAACTGCGGCAGAATGCGATCCACATCGCGGATTTGTGGCGGGAGGAGCGGAAGGATGGAGAGCCAGCACGTGATATTGCGAAGCTGATAGAATTCTGAGCGAAGTCTCGATATCAATTACGGAATGACATAGATGTATACAGCTCCTTCTTTACCTCTATTTCCAGTGAATTCCCGCGAAAGCGTGATTTTTAGGCTGCGCACATTCATGATATTCTCAGCCCAGGATGTCGGCATAGGGATGCTGTTCAACAGGACCACAACCGGGAAGCCCGTTGTGCATACCATTGTGACAGACCCTCGCTTGGTGCAGGTCATTGCCATCCCCTTTGATTGCATTCCCGCACGTTGATGTGCCTCAAAGAGTTTGGAGAGGTTTGGGTGCATGATTCTGACAAATTACTCGATTTGAGCTAGTACATGACACACATCTTATGCAGTAACGCAGATGCACAACCCCCCTCTAAGGCCCCATAATCGGTTGAAAAACCTTGGAGGGTTGACAGCATCTGCGGCAGATGCTCCAAAGGTGTTGTTGCTCGACAATAGAATACATTGGGATTCATTGGCTCTTGAGACGGGGACACTGTAGACTCCGTACAAAAAAACAAAGACTACATGCCCCTCACTGCATTTCCGCGCTCAAACGTACCGAACGGTCACAGAGCTGCCGGACGCGCTGACGGACGTAAGCACGCTGTTCTGCTCAATGTCAAGCAGCTGCGCGCCACTCGGTCCGACCGTTCCACCCGACGCGAGCGTCGCCCTGGCGTTCGTGAACGTCACAGTGCCGAAGTTGGCGAACGGCACGAGCGAGTTGCCCTGCTCAAAGTCCTCGACGATCCACTCCGCGTTCTCCCCACACAGTCTGCCGCTGCCCGAGAGCGTCTTGGACACGCTGCGGCCGGTGGACTCGTTCGTGATCGACACATGGCCGGAAGTCGATGACGTCTTGGTCGCGACGAGGGTGATCACGTCGCCCGCGCTGACGGAGAACCCGGAGAAGTCGCTCGCAAACGCGGGGTAGAACTCGTACCAGGCTGTTCATGACTTCAGATCGGGGTGCAAAAGATCGGATGCCAACAAACAAACGCACCATCGAACGAGACGCGGCCGTTGTCGACGTTGAAGTCGATGCCAGTCTGCATGATGCCGCTCGAGCAGGTGTCGCCGTCGATGCCGACCCACGCCGAGGCCGCGGAGCTGCCCGACCCGCCGGCAGAGCGGGGCGTCGGGACGGTGAACGTGCCGGTGACGGACGTGTACGTGCCCGAGGGGCTCTCGAGGCTGGCGCCGGCCCAGTTCTGGCTGTACGCGACGTGGGAGGTCACGTTGGAGATCAAATTCGCGTGCGGGCCCTCGGTCGGGAGACGCGGGCCGGACATGCGGCGGCGGGCCTGGCGGCCTTCGACGTTGCTGCGCGGAGCGGCGAGGGCGGCGGCGGCGAGGAGGAGCGAGACGAGGGCAGAGGCGAAGACCATTTTGAATGTTGCTTGTGCGAGAAGCTGGGAGGATACCGAGATGGGACCTTGGGACTCCTACCCTGGAGAACGTCCGCATTTTATACGAGTGTGGTTGTCGATGGCGCTCTTCGCGTCATATGCTCGGTCGCTCGCGTTGAACTGGATAGACGCCACGGCCCAGCGCATGAGCATGTGAAATCTCCCCCCGCATGCACCAGCACGCGCGTCGAGTCGCGATGGTCGTTCCTATTCCATGATTCAGCGGGATAGAACTCGGAGACAGACAACCAGGCCCCACGCTTTGCGCCCGAGAGTTGCCACGGGCCCCATATCCGCGGTGCCGAAGGAGATGGCGCCAGTCAAGAAGGGACCCATATCGCTCGCAACACATGAGAATGGCCCATGAACGTGGTTCAGAACGGCGTGCTCGAGAAGTTGAGCGGCCACCCAAGTTCTTGGAAGATGAGAAGAGGCTTCGTTCCTTTTCTCAACTGATCCGAACTGCTCCGCCTTCTTTGGTTACGCGGTCACATGCTCTCATGATACACGCTATCTCGCAGGAAGAACGGACAGTACGAGGAGCTGTAGTTCATCTGGAGCTCAACAGTTTCAGCGTGTCCATCTCTCGTTCTCCGATTTCGTTCTCGGTGCAGTCCGTCTCAACTGCGTGCACAAGTCAGCAGAACGGACATTCATATGAACTTACGAGAGTATAGTTCCCGCGCAGGTTCGAAGCTTGGAGCCACAAGCATGAGAACGACACGCGCCATTCATTGATAGGCGCTTTTGAGAAGAGCCGCGCGATAAGCACGCGAAACACAACATCCAACTACTCATAATAATCCAACGGGAAGCCCAAGACTGCGCACTGCTTCTGTTCCAGCCACGCACTGCTCCGACTCGGCCAATCCAGGATCCTGACGGGCTTTGCGCTCTGCACGGGAAGCCAACTGCCCCATTGAGCCAGAGCGTTCTTCGTCCCGGCAAACGACCTGGCGTCGAGGAACGCAGGGTCTGGATTCGGGTCATGCGTCCGAGCGAAAGATGCCCAGCTGTCCAGCGCGAGCTGCTCGAATGGCAGATCGAATGCGTCACGGAAGGGGAACCCGGGCGTCGATTGGCCGATGTTGCCGAACACGAAATACAGCTCACCCGAATGACATCTGAACAAGATGTGTGAGCGTTCGGCTTCAATAAACGAGAATGAACACAATCTCACTTGAAGTAGGGGAGAGACGGGTCCCCAAAGGGGTGAGCGGCCGTGCCGGGTGGATCGCACACACCGGGAATAGGCTCGTAGCCCATATAGCTTCTATCGAACTGATATGCCCAGACCGACTCGAACACCTTGTGCAGTGCAGCTGAGTGCAATGTTGCTTGGTCAAGACAGCTGGTGAGAGCGTTGAGTGAAGAGACCTCGACAGCAGTAGCATAAGGAAATACCTGAATTCACCGTCTGTGGCGATCCTGCTCGTGACGTTCAGCACGTCGAGCGTCGCGTTGCCGGACGTGTATGTCGGAAATTGCCCCGAGGCAAGAATGGCTGAGCTGGTGTTTGCCGGCAGACTAGAACCCGGATGAGCAGATGAATACAGGCGGAGGAGGATGGAGCTTCACCCGATAGCTTCGACAGATGACAGCTGAGATTCTCCTGGACCAGGATATCCGCCCGCAAAGTCAGTGCCGTCGTCGGCCATCCAGCCAAACATGACATGCACATTCGGTGCGATCGGGCCCTTCCCATCGACGGAGAGCCTGTCACGGACGAGGTAATGCCCATCCACGACGAGATATCTAGGTGTGTTCCTGGTCAATAAGTCGACTAGGGACGAAGATCAAACGCAAACCTGGGGGAATCCGGAGCGTTCTGCAGGGTCTGCCAGCTGACACCCCGCAAACAAGTCAGAGTCGCGTTCGCCGTCGCGTTCGCACATCCCATCTCGGAGACGAAAGCCGATGCCGCTGCAGCCACTTCCTCCTTGATCGTGTAGTACTCCGAATACGTTTTCGCGTATGCAAAGCCTGCCAGGTTGCTCTGCGCGATGGCACCCGAGAACAGGCCGAACGCCGGCGGAGATCCCAGCAGGGCGCGGACTGCACCCGCCCCGGCGCTTTGCCCGAAGATGGTGATCCGGCTGGGGTCTCCGCCGAAAGCTGAGATGTACTTCTGCACCCATTTCAGCGCGGTGATCATGTCTGCGAGTCCGTAGTTGCCGTTTGTCACTCCGTCGTCGAGCGCGAGGAATCCCAGAGCGCCGAGTCTTGGGTGGGCTATTCAGCATAGAATGGAGGATGAGGAATGGGAATGGCACTTGCCTGTAGTTCACAGAGACCAGCACGACATCTCCACGACTTGCCAAGCTTCCCCCATCGTTGTCAGAGGTGGGCGCCGCCCCGCCCGTGAACGCTCCTCCGTGGATCCAGAACATGACCGGCTTCAAAGCGGTGGAGGAGTGATTCGGCTTTGCCGGAATGAAAGGCGTGAATACATTGAGGGAGAGACAGTCTTCAGCGCCAGTACCTCCGTTTTGGGCGCACGGAGAGCCCATTTCGAGGGCTGTGATCTCCGACGGACCGGTGTACAGGGATGAATATGTCCAGCGTTGCGTCGGATTCGCGAACGGGATGCCCAGGAAACGAAACGACACGTGGTCCCGTGTGCTTGTGGATAATGAAATCATTTTGAATCATGCAATGCCAGCGAGGAACGCACCCGGTTATTGACAAGTCCCCTGCGTTCACGTTCACTTGCCAAGTGCTGCTGAGATCGGTTTGCCCTAAGATCCTGTTTGGCGCCGAGTTCTTGCACAAAACGGGTAACTTCTGGGAGCAGGGAGTCGTTTGTAGACCCGCCGGGCTGATCGTCGTGCAGGAGGAACCGGAGCCTGCGACCCAATACTTCTGTGCCGTCGATTTCTTTTGGGAGTAGGCCACGTATGATAACAGCGCTGGGACATCTGAGGAAAAGAAGGTCCCATTCGTAGGCGTCAGGCTCTCGTTGAGCTGCGCGCATGCCGTGGAAGCCTGAGTATGTGTACGCGGCGTGAGGAGGATGAAGCTGTCGTGTTCGCTTGTGGTCCGCCCTAAAGCACGGTGTTGTTACTCTCTCTGTCTCTCTCCGACCACCGCAGTAGAAACTCCACACACAATCGAGATCGTTTTGAAACAGTAACGTCAAATCTGAGTCTACCAACTGAGATGTCGGCGCCGACGCGACAGCGAGAGCGAAGGAGACCAGAAGTAGGGGGAGAGATGATTGGCGCATGGTCCTCGCCGGGGCCTGCCCTTCACACAAGCGTTTTACCCCGCTCGCTCGGAATAATCACGGAGTATGACGTCGCGTGACCCGCGACACAGGTCCCGCGACATGTTGAGAACGGAGAAAGATCAGGAGGTCTGAAATCACCCACGTCAACACACCCCGCATACGTCACGTGTGCCTTGTTTTAACGTTAAATAATGCTGACATTTTTATTTGCAAGGTTGAATTGTGTAAAAGGAATGATCATGCACACTGCTCAACTTCCTACCACCATGCGCCTAATAACCACTACACTCAGGTCGTTGTCCAAATTGTTCTCTCCCTCACGTATTGTGACTCGTGAGCCCTCACCAGCCCTCATTGATAATGTTCTACTGATGACTTCATCTCTCGTTGTCTCGTGCAGATCTACTTTTTTTATCCATGAGTGCGACTCAAGAAAAGTTCGGATCTGTTTATCCGGGGCTACAGCGTGAAGACTTAGGGCGGAAAAACGTGGTATGTTCGTATCCTCTGGTAAGCAGCGTGCGGTCTGGGGGCAAATTCTTGATTCGCCATGTTTCGAATACTTCCCTGTTGTATCTGTATAAGATATATTTTGCCGTACTGTTCTTTGTACTGTCCTAGGACTAGCATGCTCGAGAAGGGCCCGAATTCTAGTAGAGCGGCCGAAATGGAGCGCTCTTGTGACCTCCTGTGGAGTCACCCCGCTTATGATGGACTTGTTGAAGCCTCAAAATGGCGTCATGAGGGCACAATGTCCGCGTTGTCCACCGCTTATGAGACACTTACTTATGTATGGGCGCATTAGCATATTCTGCACCTTTTGGAACAAACGTCACTGTCTGGGATCAACACGGCAACGATCATCAGCACGGGGTTTGAAGTGAAGTTTCGGCACCGGGATCATCCTTCTCTTCTCACCTTCCACTGACCGCTCTACTTCTCGAGCACGCCGTACTGCTCCACGTTCATGGGCTGTTCTCATGTGTTGCGAGCGATATGGGTCCCTTCTTGACTGGCGCCATCTCTTTCGGCACCCGCGGATATGACGCCCGTGGCAACTCGGGCGCAAAGCGTGGGGCCTGGTTGTCTGTCTCCGAGTTCTATCCCGCTGAATCATGGAATAGGAACGACCCTCGCGACTCGACTCGCGTGCTGGTGCATATGGGAGGGAGATTTCACATGCTCATGCGCTGGGCCGTGGCGTCTATCCAGTTCAACGAGAGCGACCGAGCATATGACGCGAAGAGCGCCATCGACAACCACACTCGTATAAATGCGGACGTTCTCCAGGGTAGGAGTCCCAAGGTCCCATCTCGGTATCCTCCCAGCTTCTCGCACAAGCAACGTTCAAAATGGTCTTCGCCTCTGCCCTCGTCTCGCTCCTCCTCGCCGCAGCTGCTCTCGCAGCCCCGCGCAGCAACGTCGAAGGCCGCCAGGCCCGCCGCCGCATGTCCGGCCCGCGTCTCCCGACCGAGGGCCCCCACGCGAACTTGATCTCCAACGCGACCTCCCACGTCGCGTACAGCCAGAACTGGGCCGGCGCCAGCCTCGAGAGCCCCTCGGGCACGTACACGTCCGTCACCGGCACGTTCACCGTCCCGACGCCCCGCTCTGCCGGCGGGTCGGGCAGCTCCGCGGCCTCGGCGTGGGTCGGCATCGACGGCGACACCTGCTCGAGCGGCATCATGCAGACTGGCATCGACTTCAACGTCGACAACGGCCGGGTCTCGTTCGATGGTGCGTTTGTTTGTTTGCATTCGATCCCGCATGCCCTGATCTGAAGTCATGAACAGCCTGGTACGAGTTCTACCCCGCGTTTGCGAGCGACTTCTCCGGGTTCTCCGTCAGCGCGGGCGACGTGATCACCCTCGTCGCGACCAAGACGTCATCGACTTCCGGCCATGTGTCGATCACGAACGAGTCCACCGGCCGCAGCGTGTCCAAGACGCTCTCGGGCAGCGGCAGACTGTGTGGGGAGAACGCGGAGTGGATCGTCGAGGACTTTGAGCAGGGAAACTCGCTCGTGCCGTTCGCCAACTTCGGCACTGTCACGTTCACGAACGCCAGGGCGACGCTCGCGTCGGGTGGAACGGTCGGACCGAGTGGCGCGCAGCTGCTTGACATTGAGCAGAACAGCGTGCTTACGTCCGTCAGCGCGTCTGGCAGCTCTGTGACCGTTCGGTACGTTTGAGCGCGGAGATGCAATGAGGGGCACGTAGTCTTTACTTTCCTGTAAGGATTATGAAGTGTCCTGGTCACAAGACCCAATCGATCGGAATATATTCTATTGTCGAGAAACAGTGTCTTGATGTTTCCAGTCTTCATGAGCAGTCAGTCATCCAAGCCTTGCCGCCTCCGAGGGGGAAGTTCAGTCTGTGATCCTCTGAATTGCCTATCTGGTTCTCCTCAAGGCAGCTCTGATCAGCAGTAACTCTCCTGCTTAAGCTCTGCCCGTGTCCCGTGGGGATGGCCGATAGTCAAGCATACGACATGGCTAACTCGCGGAAGAGATCAGATGAATGGCTGCAGTTGCCACAGTGACTCAATTCAAGCCGTCTTTGCTAAGACTAAGAAATCGGCTATCAAAACAGACCACGCCAAAGGCCGCGGACTAGTTCGCGTGGGTTTTCGTCTGCCGTTCGATTTGTCGAAAATACTTTCCGACTCGAGCTGTGTTTTGATTCCTCAGTACTCGATGCAAGCGTATTGATGAATAGAATGGAGAACTATGAATTGCAGCTCTTTGATGGACAACTATGACTTCTCCTGGACAATATCCACCCTCCCAGTCTCACTGATCTTGACGAGGACCTGTTTTGTGCTCGCTCGCGCGGGCCAGGGTGCGTCGAAGATATCGTCCAACTCCTCGAGGGTGCGCCCGTTCTGGTGTCACTGGTCAGCCGAGAGTTCACGATCAAGAAAAGAACGCACCGTCTCCACACAAAACAGATACCACAGCCCGGAAGCAATCACGTCCCACGCGACAAATACAAAGTAGTACTTCCATCCGAGGTTCCCCAATCCTACACTGTTTGCGAACGTGTTGATGAATCCCGCGCAATTCGAGATCAAAACGTGCACTTCAGAGGATGAGGTCCCGAAACGCGCAGGTCATCAAATCAAACGCACCCGCCATGCCTTTGGCACGCATGTCTTGGCTCATAACTTCCGCACAATAAAGGGCCTGCAGGGGGGTGTACACAAATGCATAGACGATTCCGAATACAAAAATCAGCGCGATCGACGCGTTGGCCCCAGCGACATTCTTGTTTCCCGCGACGCCGTCTTAGAAGCGCTCTGAATTTCATTCGGTGAAAGAAGTAAACGACGCACATTTGCCCGACAACGCAGCGACAGCAGCAAGCAGACCACCTAGAATGAGCGATCCGAGGTAGAGCCGGCGCCGACGTCCAAGCTTGTCCGTCAGCGAGGCGCCAAGAAACGCACCGCCCGCTGATAGCAGCGAATTGGCAAAGTTACTGTGAGATTCATCAGGTCAGATGGCACAGAAGAGAGGGAGCGGAAAACCTCACTAGACAAGCTGCTTGTGCGGACTTGTAACTCCTGCGTTCTTCATCATCACCGTGAGGAAGTAAGTTATCAGTCCGTTCCCGGCGAGTTGCCCGTTCAAGCACTGTTTTGACACTTTCTCAACAACATAATCGGACCCAGGACGATCAACAAACCATGAGAGACAAACACAGCATCCGCCAGCGGCGGTTCCTGGTGCGAAATAGGGAGCTGTAATCCCAGAACTACGCCAACCACTGAGCTCGGGCTTGATCAACCGCAAACTGTTCAGCCACTCACAGCATCTTCCCGCTTTACCGCGATCTGCCGCTCAAACTCCTCCATCTGCAGCTCGATCACAGGGTTGCTTTGGCCGTCATTCGAGTGGTAGTCGATCAAAATCTGTCGCGCTTCCTCGGCCCGACCGCGCGAGACGAGCCATCGTGGGGACTCTGGGCAGAACCAGACAGAAATCATCACGATCAGCTGTATGTCGTGTCTGAGTGCTGAATCATGCACAATGGAGCTGGAAGACACACTCACGGGCGGCGCAACCTGCAGTACGAGGGGAAGCCGCCATGCCCAGGTGGTGTTGATTTTGGCCGTTCCGACCATGGAGCCAGTTGCAGGTATGCTGCCAATGAAGAAGCACCTTGGGCAAGGTGAGATAAAGCACTAGAAAGAGAGCTGTAGAACGAACGAGTTGTACAGGGCACCAAGTCGGCCGCGCCACTGCGGAGGAGCAATTTCTGTCACCCATGTCGGCGCGCTTCGTGAGGTTTAGATAGGCGAAACGGAATGAATCGGATCGCCACGCACGCAGTTGTTGATATAGCGATCCCGAATCCAAGGAGGAAACGACCAGCCAGGAACGCGCCCCGGACTTGAGCAGTCACGCTGACGATCGCGCCGATGAGAATGAACAGTCCGCCCTGCCCGCGGATGAGCTGTGCATCGAAGGGGCAAAGACGACGACGCACCGCGAACATTCCCCCGCGCCGACCGTACTGTTACCGATCGAATGACATCGGCTGCGCTGCAATCTGAAGCAGAATGCTCACCAGTTCCGTAGCGGGTCCGGCGAACAAAGCGCCGGCGCAGTTTCCCGTTACGCTAGTCCTCAAACATCGGACTTTGTATTGAACGAACTAGTTCCGCGACGCACTAGATCATGAACACAATCCCCGTCGACTTTCCGACCGACGCATAATCGAACTAGAGAGACCTCAGTGGACCGCCTCGAGGTGTCGTCCGAACATACAAAGTTCAGGTACTGGGGCATGGCGTTGATCCCGCTCATCAAGCTCCCGTCGAATCCACTCGACACGGCGTTAAGGAAGCCGACCATCACGACAAAGTACAGCTTGAAGGATCGTCAAACGAAGGACGGAGGCGCGGAGGGAGGAGCTCACCATGAAGCTCCGTCGGCTGAAGCCATGCAAATCTGTCTTTCGCACCGCGCTCTGCAAGTCAGGGTTGTAGACTTGGGCTACGGCTACGGCCCCGCCCCGCCGCTGAACGTCGCTGTCGGAGTCGGAGGAGACGGAGCGTTTCTCGTCTGCGGTGGGAGAGGAGGTCATGGGGAGTGTCGAGAGAGACGATAAGGATCCGCTCGGACGCCCGGTCCCGTGCCCGCGGGTTATGTACTCTTTCTATTGCTCGAGTTGCTTCTTGATGGAGTGGGGTCTCACGCCGATACGGGGGAGATGGTCTTCTCGATCGAACGCGGCTTGATAGGCGCAGATATTCAGCAAGATGACAGGCGTGTAGGGTACTTATCAACTGATCGCGATGCGCAGCACGGTTGAGGAGGGCGCCGAAAGTAAATCGAGAATCGTGGTCACGCGCCGAGGCTGAGCGGGTCCTTATCGGGAGTTGGAGTTCAATCAGCATGACGGCGCGGTGTGGGGCATTGACAAAATGGTACATTCTCTGTCGCTGATGCTGGCTGAAGTGTGTTCGTTAGAAAAAATGATAAAGCATTCGTGCATTGGGACTTGAGAAAGATGGAATGTGACGCGTGATGGTCACAAACCCTCCGCTTTTCGTCCTCTTCCACGTCAAGGCTGTGCTGTGTACTTGGTCAAAACGAGCCATAAACTGGTGGCATGACTGGCTCAAACGATCTCGAAACCTATCAAACCTCCGCTCCGCTTCTTCCTCTCGCCAATGAACGCAAGCAATCACAGCCATGAGAAGATCTTTACCTGCCGCCGCCCAACTTCGCCACTGTGACGAATGGACGCTGCACGCTCCGTTGGTCTCGTCCGCTTCCTGATCGAGATCGCGAATGAGGAAGGCGCACGGAAATCTTCTTCAATGGCTCATAGGTAACGCACGCCGACCTCCACATCTTCGACGTCTCGCTGGGCCGTGCACACAGCTCTCCGTCAGGACAGACCTTCTGGTCCGATCTGGGATCCGATAGCTCCCTCGCCTTGCCCCAGCTTTACATTCCCTCCAATGCCGCGTGGAACTGCAGATCTGATGCAATGGGCTGGGTTTTGATGCCTCACTACCTCAAAATTGCACCTTCCGCATCGTGACAAACTTATCATTGATATACAGAGCGTCGTATGTCCTTCCATTCCTCTTAAGGTCGCTACACAGTACTCATTTAACCCCACAGCCATTCCTTCTACGTGGCAAACACCCAGAAAGACGAAGCCTGGTCGTTAAACCCGATCGTGCGCAGATCCGCGTTACCGGGGTACGTGATCGTCGGAGTGCCCCACACATCTGGGTTGCAGCCCGCGTTCCTAGACGGACACTCGTGATCAGCCAGGCACCAGTCTCAGCTCGCCATTGGCACTTACCCGTACAAAGTCACCCCGGTGCCCTGATCTGGTCCGATGCTGGAGATCTTGTTGTTCCAGTCACTGCCGAGGGTGATGCAGCTGTTGATCGGCTGCACGGCGTAGCCACACGTGCCGCTGAAGTTGATGTCCGTGCAGATGTAGATCCCGCCGATGTTTCGTTTGCTGAGTCCTGCGTCCTAGGAGGGGTCAGCATCCGGTCCCGGTGTGAGACCGCGAAGGCCTACGGTGGCGTTGGGCATGGATGTGCCGAATGCCGAGGCGGGGAGGATAGCACCGTCCCATCCGAGAGCGGTCTTCCAATCCTCAGGCGTCGGGACGGCTTTGACACCGACGGCGAGGACAGCGGCGAGGACAGCGGTGAAGAACTGAGAAGCAAAGTACATCTTTCTACCCTCACTTGCTCTCAATCCGCGCTCCATAGCGCTCTTTATACGATGCAGTTTGAAGCTGATCCATGACTGACGGTGCTCCCAGATCAGTCTTAGCCCGGATCAGTCATCTCGGGCACGCACGGGGGTGCCCAGTGTGGTCGAGTCGCGCTTAGAGTCGACGTACCTGTCACGCAGATAGCACCTAAGCTCCTGGGTCCGCGCTTGGTGGTCGTCTATGAACGTTTGAACCACTCAGTTGCGCAGATAAGATGATTAGTCGACGAGGGAAACGGCAATAATGCAGAATGGTTCGTGCACTATGCCAAAGTACGCCACAAATGTTCGCGCGATTTCCAGCCCCGTCACCGAAGCGAGAAACTTGCATATTGACAAGATTGCACTGAATCACTAGTGAGTCAGATTGCCATGTCATGACCGTGCCATTCCGCGCCGCCATTATGCACCGTCAGCACGTCATCTTTTTTATTCCTCTTTCTCTTGTTCCTCACGGATATGTTCGCCCCCTACACATATCGAAAGATCCACCGCCCTTCACCCCTGCTCAGTCGAGATACACCGATACAGAAACGGTGATATGCCCCGAGAAGCTTACATAAGAGACCAGGCACATTCCGGACCTCCTGGTGGGACCTGCAGCGATACCGTCTGCTCTACCGTCGTGTCAACTCTGAAACCTCATAGTCACTGCGAGCCAGTGTGCATGCGATCCATTCCTGCCCATACCATCCCTATATACTAATAGATATCTACAGAAACCTCATTGTCCTTGGATCCAGCCCTCTAGCTAACCTCAGCATCACGACGTTCCCGGTCAGACTTGAGAACTATCCGCACATCAGCAACGGGAAAGGAAGACAAAGAGGGAGAGGGAGACGACTGACCCCGTTTCCCAAAAACACCGCCGCGCTCTCCGCGATGGACATGTCGACCGCCATAGCCACGCCCTTCTGCGCCGAATCAAGCAGCAGGTCGTAGCTGGACCACACATCCGTCCACCCGTCCTCAAGCAACCTCTCTCGCAGCTCGCTCACGACGCCCGTCCGCGCATTTGTCAGCAGAAACACCCTCTGCAGCGGGCTCCCCTCGTCCCCGTGCTCCGCGCGCACCGTGTGCAGCCTCTGCACAAGCTGCTCGACACTAGGAAGGCAATGCTGCATGTACTCCGCGGCTGTTTCCGATTCCGATTCTGTGCCCGCGCCGGCGACGAAACGGTCGGGGAGGGCCGGGTGCGTGTTGATGCCGAGATACGTGCTGTTCCAGGCTGCGAGGCGCGGGCAGTGCCGCACGTAGTCGCCCTGCCGCAGGTGCACCGCAAGCAGGCCGGCGAAGGTCTCGTTGGAGGGCGCGATGGGCGAATTGAAGTTGCGCAGCGGGGGGTAGAGTTGCGCGTTGTCGAGGGGGCGGAGGACGGCGAAGTTGCGTGCGACGGCGCTCCTGACGAGCGGGGACCACGTGAATTTACTGAGGATCGGCGAGGCAAAGAGGGCAGGGAGAAGTGCCAGGATGTGCTCCGAGCCGAAGAAGCTGGGGTGGACGAATGGTCAGCGAAAGTCACTCAAATGTGGAGGACGCACTATCTGTTGAAGACCGGTTCTTCCGAGGCAATTTCGACGCAGCGCACGCCTTCGACGGACTTGAGATGCTCTACCCACCAATCCAGCACCTCCAACGTGCTCGCACCCATCTCACCGCTTGGCGTATCAGCCGTGGCACGAACTGTACGAATCTGGTCTCTGGCGCAGACCTGCTCGAAGAAGGCAGCGCTGACAGCCCGTTTGTGAGGCTCCTCTGGCGCGCCCCCGGCGAGTGGACCCGAGATGAATGCGTTCAGCGGTATCCGCGACGGACGCAGCGAAAAATCCGGCCAGGACACCGTGTATGGCAGGGGGGACTGGGACCAGGTGTAGTCCTCGAAGACGTATGTCCTGTTTATCGTGTGCGAGAGATGCGCTGCGACAATGCTGCCGATCGTTACTGAGTGCGCGACAGTCAACGGAAATGCACGCACGCTTCTTGTAGCACATTATTCCACCCGTGGCCTATCAGATGTCCGGGGAAGCGCAGGTACATCCGCCTGTCCTCGAGAGTGGTCGCGTTCTCGTGTTGCGGCAGCCGCTGCTCGTAGGTCCGGATGTCGGAGTACGTCGAGGGAACGCCATTCAGGAGTAGCACCAGGAGAAGCAGCACCGGTGCAGCCAGGCACATGCAAGCACACCCTCGTACCAACACCCTCCGCCTCGTCCAGCTGGCCCGCGCTGGCGCCCCATGATCGAGTGGCGATGTGCGTCGTGTGGCTTCTGGCGACGGAACGAGCTCGTAGCCACGATATTGCGGTCCTGCCGCGCCTCTTGTCCATCTGATGGTCGTCCACGGTAGCCTCGTCATGGACGTGGAGGAGGTAAACAGCCAAGCTTGGTTCCGCAAACGTTCTTAAAGTTAGACTTCTTCGCACACGTTGAAGCGGCGGATCAATGCACTCGGCAGCCGAAGCTTGGATGGAAGTTGGTGCGGCCTTCTAGTCTCAGGCAGGGGGAGGAGGAGCAGAGCAGTCGGGCTGGCGCAGTGTTTTACGTCGTGGCAGACAGCACTGACAGCGATATGCACCGCACAGCGGTTCGTCTTTACTTTCATTATACTGCGGCCAAGACGATAAGAATCCCCTTGTGACCGGAACCCCTTGACAACGTCGAGTAAGTGTCGGTCGCCGGCTAGTGCCTGTTCTTTGGGCTGATCGTGGAGATAAACAAAGGTACATACAGCGTGCTGCGGATTTGATCGCTTCGAATTTCGAACAGGGGTGCTGCTTCAAAAACAATACATGTTTCTTTCCTTTACCGTCGACTTGAGGGTTTTCACCTTGTCTCGCCCCATAAAATCCTTGTGACTAAAGCTATACTCTGCCGCTGGAGCGAGAAGTTTGTTTTCGGTCACAGCTTACAGCCGCCGCTTGTGACGGATTCTAATTATATTATCGGTGCTGTCCTCGCAGACACATCCGGGTGATGCTCTGCGGATGTTACTCAAAGACTCGCCAGTTTCCGAGGGACAATCTCTAGTAGACACTGACTGTAAAACCCCGAAGCTATCCTGTTGACGACGGCCAGGCGAGGCGGTGCAACTCTGCTGCAAACGGCGCAGGCGGCCACGCGACAGTGTCAGGCTGTACGAGTTTCAGCTCATTTGTCGAGCACCGCTCGGATCTCTGCGGAAATGGAGTCCTGAATGGGTCACTCGTCTGCGCCGCAGAGATCCAACGCAGCACTCGTCAAGGGCTGAGCACAGCTTATAAACGCGGGGGAGAAGCAGGGTCTGGACTGTCGCTTACAACCATAACCGACTTACGCAGTCCATGGATAGATATGATATGCCAGACGGAGAGAGATGCCCGCAGATGCGGACTTGGCTCAAGCTCGAACAGATCATCAATGTAGGCAGTGCTCGCTATACCGCCAGAGAGTGTGCTTGGGACCTTCATTCGATGTCATCGCATGAGTGTAGACTTGGATAGAAAAACGTGCTGACGCGCCCGCTTGCGCATATACGCAAGTCGAAGACAGATGACGGTCGAGGACGAGTCTCGGACAAGCCGGTCCGTGATTGACAGGTGGCGGTACGTGATCAATAGCGTCTGAATTCAGCGGCGCAACTATTTTTCCTGTAACCACATCGATTCACGGCTGCGGACGACACCACCGCACGATTTCTAACGACTTGGCGCATGTTGCTCCGTGTACCAGGCTCAGCTGAGCTCGCTTAGACGACGCCAAGATCAATTTGGCGGACTTTGTGCTCCCTTCGACAAAAACCATTCAGCACTGTTCTTAGCCATCCCCTTCCCATATGACGCCGAGCTTTCTTCAGTCTATCTCCCACATGTTTCCTTATTATTTAGACACCGAGATATGCCTATCTTTACTCTATAAAACCCTGTATGTCTTTACTTGCAAAAATAGACAGATTTTGGACTACCTTTCAAATTCAAGCCTTCGACACGCTCCGCTTTAGTCTCGTACCTCGCCTTCGACTCCGGCCATTGTCCCCGACACTTGGACACTCCGTCCCCCAACAACCGGCTCCTTCTGCTGCCCGATACGTCCCGGAGCAGTTGAACCCTCGCATTTTTATTAATCCTGCTGCTGTTGCGTAGTAGCTGACCTGTATTTTGTTAGCTCGCGCCCGGCCGACAGCAGAGTCGTCATTTTGGAGCCCACCGCGAGGGGTTTCAACATTGATTCTGGTTCTTCGCGCAGCTTGCGAGAGAACGCTCACTCCGATCTTCGTCGAAATCTCCGTGAAGAGATATTCATTGCAGTACACGACCCCACAACCGTTTCCTTCGACAACGAGTCTCTCTTTGACCTTGTACCCGACCACCTTTCGCGGCACAACAATCTCTCGCCACATTCCCCGAGCTCGCCGACTTTAGCTTGGCTATTCAACGCACCTTTGACGCCTTCAACTCCGTCTACACCTTTGCTTCCTGCTACCCCCGTTCCTCCGATCATGGCCAATCCGATTCCAATGCCGGCTCGAGGAGATCGCAACGCTCCAGTCTTCGATTCGTCGAGGCCACATGAGCTGCGTCGCTACTTCTCTGATCTCGAATTCCTGCTGACTCGTTCTGCTGTCACGGATGCCGCCGAAAAGAAGGGCCACGCAGTTCGTTTCCTTTCGGTCGATGATCAGGAGATCTGGGAAGGATTAGCGTCCTTCTCAGATGCGGGAAAATCCTACGAAGATTTCAAGGCTGAAGTACTTGGCCTTTACGCTGGCAACGATGCTGATCGCCGGTTCAGTCTTGATGACTTAGACCGACTGGTTGGACAAACATCTCGGGTCGGGATTCATACAAAAGAGGATCTCACCCTGTTCTATCGCCAATTCCTCCACATAACAACGTTTTTAATCAGCAAGGGGCGGCTCTCTGTATCTGAACAGAGTCGTTTCTTCCTGCGAGCAATGCATCCGACTTCGTTAGCTGCAGCTGTTCGGCAACGGTTGCAGATCAAGAAGCCCGATGTGCATCCCGAGGATCCATACGATTTAACAGACCTTTATGATGCTGCTAAATTCGTTCTCGCAGGATCGTCAAGCTCGTTCCCGTCGTTGCCGTTGCCTTCGCCAAAGGCTGAGGTTATGGTGAAGCCTGATCCAGGCATTTCTGCGCTTGTCTCGTCGGTTTCAGACCTTGTGCGCATTATCGCGGCTCAGCAATCAACTCAGCCGGCTGCTCCGGTAACAACTGCACCTGCTCCTCGACGCCCACGGCCCGATGGCTGTGGCTACTGCAGCGAACTGGATCATTTTATCGGCCAGTGCCCACATGTGGTTACAGATACCCGTGCTGGGAAGTGTCGACGAAACACGGATGGGAAGGTCGTACTCCCATCCGGTGCTTTTGTTCCTGGTTCTATTCAGGGACGCAACCTACGAGAGCGCATCAGCAAGTGGCATGAGGCGAATCCAGGTCAGACTGCAGCCGCGCAGATGATGCTAGAAGTTACTCACCAAAATATGTTTTCCTCCTTGTTTTCGGGCCCGGAAATCGCGCAAACGTTTACGCTGACGGACGAGGAACGCATGGAAGTGCTGAAAGCCGAAATGTATCAGCTCCAAACGCGTGCTCAGGCAAAGCGAGCCATGGAAACGAGAAATCAGCCTGACGCACCTGATCGCACTATTCCAGCTCCGACTCGCAATTCCCCGCCTCCAGTGCACGCTCCTGTGCCTGCCCCGGTTCCACCGACCTCCGCACCTCTTCCGTCAACTCATCCGTTCGCCGCGGCTCGTGATGGCGCATATGCGCCTCCGAAACAGCGAAATCTGGGTGTGCCAGCTGCAAAAGCACTACCCCCCCGTTCTGCGGCGCCCATCTACAATCCCAAGGACGCAGCAACCGTATTTGATAGCGTTCTCGACACACCTATCACCCAGACGCTCCGGCAAGTTCTGTCAACAGCTCCCGAAGTTCGTGCGCAGATGCGCGAAGCTACGAGTTACCGCCGTGCTCCGGCCAAGACCGGCGATGTTGCTCCGCAGTTCTTCAAAGCTGCATCTGTCGCGGTCGCTGAGGAGACGGAGGCATGGCCATACGAAGATGAGGATGCGCTGGACCAGATGCTGCATCAACAGCGAGATCTTGATGCACATCTGGCGTCAATCTCCGAGCAGTTTCCAGCTGCCTATGCTAACGCGTCGAGGCCGCCTCCGCAGGATGCTTGGGTCGTGCCGGACGAGTTTGCGGTGTACTACGAGGAGATGGGGAAGCTTCCTCCGGCTGGTGATTTGATCGTTTCCGCTGAGTCTTCCGCAATTCGGTCAATCCTTCCTATTATAGATAATCAGCAGCAGGTCGAGTGCATTGTTGACAGCGGATCTCAGATTAATGCCATGTCGCAAGCGGTCTGCCATAGTCTTGGCCTTGTCTACGACCCGCGGATAATTCTGCGAATGCAGTCTGCCAACGGAACGATTACTCCGTCGCTCGGTCTTGCTCGGAACGTACCAGTTCGCATCGGTGATATTACGGTCTACCTCCAGATTCACATTATTCGAGACGCTGCCTACGACATCTTGCTCGGACGACCGTTTGACGTTCTGACTGAAAGCGTGGTCCGGAACTTTGCAAATTCCGATCAGACAATCACAATTACTGATCCGAATACGGGCAAGTCTGCGACAGTGCCGACTGTTCCTCGAGGAGCTCCACGCGCTCGTCCTCAGGTTTTTTGGAGCTCGAGGAATTGATTCCAGATCAAGGAGAGTTCGCCTTGGTGGTCGAGGCTGATCCTGGCCAACATGAACGCTACGTATTTTCTGCTTATGCTTCACTTCCTTCTTATGATACCACTGCACACTTGCAATATGCTTATTTATCTGCTTGCAGTAACCTTGGTTCGCATTCCGACACCGTATTACTCGCACATACCATCGCTCAACCGGTGTTTTCTTCGAGCCGTGATTCAACTCACGGAAAACAATTCATTCCTATTTTTTCTTTTTCTTCTTCGCATGTACAACTACCAGACAAGTCCCCCTCTTCTCGTCTCTTGCCGCCGCTTCAGCACTATGCTAACAAAAAGTACAAACCAGTTGCACAGAAAATCCGACCAGTACTTGGATCAGTTCCTGATCAATTCCGGATCGAGCGCAGGATTATTGGTGATCCACTCACGGATTTGCCAAAACTCGAGCCCAATCCCCCTCTATTCACGCCAACCGGACGCTATACGGCCGAACGAAAGGCCGCTCTTGACGACGCACACTGCGGTGATTTTCTGCGGCCTGCAGAGAGAGAACTGATGCATCATTTTATGTGTTTGCATCAAGGCGCGTTTGCGTGGCAAGAATCCGAGCGTGGAAGCTTTCGATCCGACTTCTTCCCCCCCGTCAACATCCCCGTCGTTCCCCATACGCCATGGGTACAGCGTAATATCCCCATTCCGCCCGGGATCTACGATCAGGTCTGCAAGATCATCCGTTCGAAGATTGCTGCCGGTGTGTACGAAGCTTCCAATTCATCGTATCGCTCTCGCTGGTTTTGCGTAGTAAAGAAGGACGGGACCAGTCTTCGACTGGTTCATTCGCTTGAACCTCTCAATGCCATCACGATCCAGCATTCCGGAGTTACGCCATTCACCGAGCAACTAGCCGAGCACTTCGCGGGACGAGCATGCGGTGCTATGCTCGATCTCTACGTTGGCTACGACGAGCGCTTGATTGCGCCCTCCTCCCGTGACTACACAACATTCCAGACACCTTTCGGAGCGCTTCGCCTCGTTACACTACCAATGGGCTGGACAAACTCTGTCCCAATCTTCCATGACGACGTGACATTTATCTTACAGCCAGAGATTCCCGAATTCACCTGGCCTTACATCGACGATGTGCCCATTCGAGGGCCGAAGACAACTTACTTGCTAGCTGATGGCTCCACCGAGACAATCCCAGATAACCCAGGGATCCGCCGTTTTGTTTGGGAACACTTCAATAACCTCAATCGCATTGTGCAGCGGATGAAGTTTTGTGGTGGCACCTTTTCGGGCTTGAAGCTGACGCTTTGTGATCAGAATATCACGGTTGTAGGACATGTCTGTACGCCTGCGGGAAGAATTCCAGATCAGAAACGCGTCGAGAAGATCTCCAACTGGGGACCATGCAAGACAATTTCAGAAGTTCGCGCTTTCCTCGGCACCATTGGTGTTTGTCGAGTTTTCATCAGCAATTTTGCGCATCGTGCGCACGCTTTGACTCTACTCACTCGGAAGGATATGCCGTTCCATTTTGGAGATGCGCAGATTGCCGCACAAGAAGACCTCAAGCGGGCGTTGCTTTCCTCTCCTGCGTTACGTCCCATTGATTACCATTCTACCGATCCCGTAATTCTTGCAGTTGATACTTCACAGATTGCCGTTGGATTTCTACTTGCGCAATGCGATCCAGCAGCTCCAGCTCGACGGTTCTATGCTCGTTTTGGATCTATTACATTGAACGACCGCGAGGCTCGCTTTTCGCAGCCTAAACTTGAGCTTTATGGCTTGTTCCGAGCCCTTCGGTCTTGGAAATTATATCTCATTGGCCTCCGGAATCTCGTTGTTGAAGTGGACGCTCGTTACATCAAGGGGATGCTACGTAACCCAGACCTCCTACCTTCGGCCAGCGTCAACCGTTGGATCCTCGCTATCCTTACTTTCCACTTCGAGCTCATCCACGTTCCGGGTATTCAGCACGGTCCTGATGGACTTTCGCGTCGTCCGGCGCAGCCTGGAGACGAGTTGGAGCCTGAAGATGATGGGTTTGAGGACTGGATCGACGAGGTGCATGGTTTCATGCATATGATCAATGACTCACCATTTACGTCGCGTTGCCAACCCGCAACTTCGATCTACGCCGCCGAGATAGCCCCAACAGAATCAACTACGCCACCGCCGCTGTCTTACAACCAGGTCCCTCGAAGTGAGAATGCACGTCTTGCCGATGTTCGCGTTGACTTGGTCCGCAACTGGCTCGAAACGCTTCGTCGTCCACGGCAGATGTCCGACTCCCAGTACCAAGCCTTCGTCCGATATAGTATGGAGTTCTACACTGTCGATGATCAGCTCTGGCGGAAGGATTCTCATGGACGTCACAAGCTCGTCGTACCTCAGCACCGGCGCCTCTTCATTTTGCGCTCTGCTCATGACGATATCGGCCACAAGGGATTCCACGCGACCCGAGCACTGCTGCTCGAACGGTTCTGGTGGCCGTTTCTTGCGCAAGACGTGACTTGGTACCTTCGAACCTGTCATCTCTGTCAGCTGCGACAAACTCGGAAGATCGTAATACCGCCCACCGTTGCTGTTCCCGCTCCGCTCTTCTCGAAGGTGTACATGGACACAATGTACATGCCTCCTAGCGGCGGATTCCGCTACATCGTTCAAGGAAGGTGCTCGATTTCGCACTTCCCCGAGTTCCGGATGCTCCGGCGCGAAACAGCGGCCACCCTGGGAGAGTGGATCTTTCAAGACTTCATTTGCCGATGGGGAACACTTACCGAGATCGTTTCCGACAACGGTACTCCGTTTGTGAAGGCTCTGGGGTATCTAGAAGCTAAGTATCATGTTCATCATATCCGCATTTCGGGATATAACTCACGCGCCAATGGGATGATCGAGAACTCGCACTTTGATGTCCGCGAGTCGCTCTTCAAGGCTGTGGACGGCGACCAGAAGCGCTGGAGCTCAGCCGCGTACTCGGTGTTTTGGGCGGATCGTGTCACAGTTCGCCGGAGAATGGGTTGTTCACCCTACTTCGCAGTGACTGGGACGCATCCCCTTCTGCCGCTAGACATATCCGAAGCGACGTACCTGCTCCCGCCTCCTGAATCGGTGCTTTCGACCACCGAACTCATCACCCGACGTGCTATTGCCCTCCAGAAGCGACGAGAGGATCTTGCGGCGCTCCATTCCCGTGTATACGAAGCCCGACTCCACGACGCTGCCCAGTTCGAGTTGGACCACTCAGTAACGATGCGCGACTTCGACTTCAAGCGTGGCGACCTCGTTTTGATGCGGAATACGGCGATCGAGAAGTCGCTGAGCGCAAAGATGCGCAAGCGGTACCTTGGCCCTCTAATTGTCATCTCGCGCAACCGTGGGGGTGCGTACATTCTCTGCGAACTTGACGGCGCCGTCTTTCACCGCCCAATCGCCGCCTTCCGAGTAATTCCGTACTTCGCCCGAACGTCCATCCCACTTCCCTCCCTCGAAGATTTCTTGGACATTTCAACCGAAAAGCTGCGCAAGCTCGAGCAGTCGACGCTGGAGGATCCGGATGGAGACGATGACGAAGAACAGCCTGAGCTAGAGCAGGATTAGCGGACGAAGAAAATTTCAGTCGGGAGGACGCACCAGAAGATTCACCGGACTCATTTCCCCCATTCCCCCAAGTCGCATCCTTCGATTCGTCGTCGTATTGCGCGGTTCTTCAGAGCCAAGGCTATGATGATTTACTGAGCCTTTCTTGTCGACCTTGATCTACTTTCAACAGACCCACGCACCTTCGAATGACCGAGGACGGTCATATTTTCAGTCGGGAGGAGATGACGCGCCCGCTTGCGCATATACGCAAGTCGAAGACAGATGACGGTCGAGGACGAGTCTCGGACAAGCCGGTCCGTGATTGACAGGTGGCGGTACGTGATCAATAGCGTCTGAATTCAGCGGCGCAACTATTTTTCCTGTAACCACATCGATTCACGGCTGCGGACGACACCACCGCACGATTTCTAACGACTTGGCGCATGTTGCTCCGTGTACCAGGCTCAGCTGAGCTCGCTTAGACGACGCCAAGATCAATTTGGCGGACTTTGTGCTCCCTTCGACAAAAACCATTCAGCACTGTTCTTAGCCATCCCCTTCCCATATGACGCCGAGCTTTCTTCAGTCTATCTCCCACATGTTTCCTTATTATTTAGACACCGAGATATGCCTATCTTTACTCTATAAAACCCTGTATGTCTTTACTTGCAAAAATAGACAGATTTTGGACTACCTTTCAAATTCAAGCCTTCGACACGCTCCGCTTTAGTCTCGTACCTCGCCTTCGACTCCGGCCATTGTCCCCGACACTTGGACACTCCGTCCCCCAACAACCGGCTCCTTCTGCTGCCCGATACGTCCCGGAGCAGTTGAACCCTCGCATTTTTATTAATCCTGCTGCTGTTGCGTAGTAGCTGACCTGTATTTTGTTAGCTCGCGCCCGGCCGACAGCAGAGTCGTCAGTGCGCATGATGCAAACAGAAAAACAATGAAAGTGACTCGACACTGATCTTTATGTGCGTCGCGAGAGTCGGAGTGCATCACTATATCCGGAAAGTTCTATAGCGTGGTCGCTACCGCTAGTACTCTCCCCGGCATGCTTCTATTCAAAAGCAGGAAACTACTGGTAGATGACTCAAACAAATTGATTCCTTTGACACAATCTCGACTTGAGCAATGTTCAGAATAGGAACACCCTACTTCGTCCATAGATCGTGGCCATGAATACCATTATCATCTAAAAATACGTGTAGTGCTGGAAGATATGCGCTATATTGTCCCTTCTCGCTCTTTCTCTCTGGAACGGTGACGCGTCTGACAGCTGATCGCAGTATATATATGGGCATCCTATTCGAAACGTGGATCGGAAAGCAGATGTCGCGCAGAGTAGTAAAAAGTGAAGAAAATGATTCTGTCGGATGCTTTGAGGACTGCGCCGATCGGATCGCCTCGAAGCCGATGTGCGAGGCCCGGCAGGAAGAGGAATCCCAAGAAGCTCAAGCTCGATATAGACTGTGAGACGAATTATGGCGGAGGCAAAAACGACGGGAACTCCTGATGCGATTGCCAGACGATGGAACTGACTAGGAGGCGAAGAAAATTGGAAACTCAAGCCAGCCCCCCAGGCTCGATGCCTTGAATTTGCTGTTAATGCAATAACCATGAAATCTATCGAAACCCATATCCGCAAGTAAATGAAGAAAACAAGAGAGGCAGATAAAAATTGAAGCGTTCCTTTCGCGAATGTCTGTCCCATTGTCATATCGGCGTATCTTGGCCGATACAGTACGAAACATCGTCCCTGCTGAATTTGTCGTCATCTTATGGGCTTGAAGGACCGTCTAAAGTTTGCTGTCGACTATTTCACCATTACACTCAACATTCATTTGTTGCCAGTGGAGATTGAGCCTCAGATCACTGCAAGCTGTATGGCAGTTGATGGCGACACTGCCACCCTTTACGGTTGAAAAAGTCCGGTCCGGTCATGTGATCCAAGTAAGTGGAAAAAAGTGGTCAACAACCGGTCTGGTGGTGAATATGGAGCGCGGAAAATTCATGGGAGAGATCCTGCTGACATGCTCAAAAGATAGACAGTTGAGGCCAACAATCTGTGTTCGCGAGGCCCACTTGAGGACTCAACACAGACACTAATGGTCGAATTCTGTGTCATTGACTTGCGAGAAAGGGAGGCCGTTGGATATTTCGATGAACACAAATTCTACATACCCATCGCTGTGTCTCGTCACTCAAACGTATTTAACAGTCACAGAGCTCGTGGTCGCGCTAACGGAGGTGAGGACGCTGTTCTGCTCGATGTCGAGCAGCTGCGCGCCACTCGGTCCGACGGTTCCACCCGACGCGAGAGTGGCCTTGGCATTGGTGAACGTGACAGTGCCGAAGTTGGCGAACGGCACGAGCGAGTTACCCTCCTCAAAGTCCTCAACGATCCACTCCGCGTTTTGGCCACAGAGCGTGGCGCTGCCGGTGAGCGACTTGGACACGGTCTTGCCGGTGGACTCGTTGGTGATCGAGACGCTGCCGGAGGTCGTGGAGGACTTGGTCGCAACGAGAGTGATCACGTCACCAGCGCTGACGGAGAAGCCGGAGAAGTCGCTGGCAAACGCGGGGTAGTACTCGTACCAGGCTAATTAATGCGTCAGTGAGAAACCCAAACGCCAAATGGGACGCAGAAAATGCACCATCATAGGAGACAACGCCGTTGTCGATGTTGAAGTCGATGCCGGTCTGCATGATCGCGCTTGAGCAGGTGTCGCCGTCAATGCCGACCCACGCCGAGGCAGCGAAGCTGCCCGAGCCACCGGGGGACTTAGGGGTAGGGACGGTGAAGGTGCCGGTGACGGAGGTGTACGTGCCCGAGGGACTCTCGAGACTGGCACCCGCCCAGTTCGTGCTGAATGCCACGTGCGAGGTCGCGTTGGAGATCTGGTTCGCCGCCGCGGGGCCTTGAGACGTAAGACGCGGGCCGGACATGCGGCGGCGGGCCTGGCGGCCTTCGATGTTGCTACGCGGAACCGCGAGGGCGGCGGCGGCGAGGAGGAGCGAAACGAGGGCGGAGGCGAAGACCATTTTCAACTTTGGTTGTGGGAGAAGCTGAGAGGATACCGAGGTGGGACCTTGGAAATCACCAGGCTCACCAGCCTTGCGTTTTATACTGATCTAGTGGTCATTTCCGTTGTACGGCTTATCTACTTCGTCCCGCATGCTGAAGTCGATAGATACCCCACTGAGGTCCATGTGAGTTCTCCGCCCACATGCACCGGCACCCACGTTGAGCTACGAGAATCGTTGAATGTCGTATTTTCAATGATAGAACTCCACCGGAGATGGTAGTATCGGTCAGATATAGCTCTCTCGCGTGGCTCGCGCTCGCCGTAACGGGCCAGTTCAATATCCCATCTAACAACGGACGTCAAGCGGCGCAGCACGGGTAGCCGGACGAGTCAGCAGATGACGAGAAGACTATCTGAATGCCGATCGGTCGGGGTCGTTGTAACAGTGAGACGGTCCACAAAAAATAGATTTACTGCGGAGTTTGCCTTCCATGGAGATTTGCGTTCCGAAATCATGGCTCAGCACAAGCTTCGAGATAAATCTGCGTCCACGAGTAAGGTGCCCCTACTCATGGAAGTGAACACGGTCGGACTGTGTCAATATCTGGAATGTTTTTCTAGTGACACAGTTGCTGAACGCTGTAATGGATAACTCGGAGTCTCATTGACCGAAATTCTCGATCGCCGTGACGATATGTAATGATTGCATCATTATCTAGATCAGCTTCGAGTCGTGAAAAGGAATCAATGAAATCAATAAAAAGAAGGGGAGGTACCGTACAAGAAACTGTTGAGAAGGTATCAACTCCCTCAGCTTGTAAATGAATAAGAGCCTTCTTCCTATGTACCTCATTCACTGTGTAATCTAAGTAATAAGTGCTCTGCTCGGATAACCTGCCTGATAAGTTGTAGACTATCAGCTTCCGTTAATCATCTAAGCTGTCAGATTTTGAGTTATAACCCATGAGCTCGACTGATCAAGTGATAACTGATTGGTAAGCTATAATTATAAGTACGTGCATCGAGGATAACTTCGCTTTTCAGAGTCGATTGTACCTTCTTCATAGCAGCTGAGCCAAAATTCCCAAATAATCGCACAGCCTACTATAGTTCCTCTTATCATCTCAAGCAATGCGACGCTGATGATCTCCCTTCACATAAATCACATGCAAGCATCTGCTTCACGTAATTCGTTCATCTCGTTGACAAACACGATCGAACCACTCAAAATGTCCAAGTCATCGCTAAAGTAGGGCCAACTGAAGAAGGAATCAGGAACATTCCTTGCATCGGCACAGCTCCAAAGCGTTCAGGCGCATGATGTATTCGACTGCGTGTCTCGAGCTGCATTCAAATGGGAAGCCGTCAAGATACTTTGAGACGGCCTTTTGTCTGATGCGCCACGCCCTGCCTATGCGACCAAATTTTATCACAACCTTAGCAATACGCTCGATGCTTCCAAAATCTGGCAGCATGAGACAGTCACCGGCCATTACTCCCTCTCTCAAGGGTTGGGTAACGATCTTTCAAGCGTAAGTCGAAGATCACGAGCATCGAAGCCACTAGGCGGCTGATCGTCGAGTTCATGGGCGCTATGTGGACACAGCTATGTCCGTTCAGCCTTGTCCCTATGCCGGAGCTCACTTTACTGCGACCTTTCAGGATCACCAGGCCGGCAGCTATGGACTTATTTATGTAGGTTGAGAGAGACTCGCGCAGATACAATATGTCCTGACGATCATCCAACATCCATGATCCGGTGAATGTCTGGACCCGACATCCTAAACGCTAGGCTCTACGCCCAAGACTCTGCCAAACTTCAAGTGGTGGTAGTTTCGGAGGGCTGTGCGGACTGATGTTCATGATTCTTCACCAAGCGACTAGTTGCCCTGTTTGGCCTTGAGCTCTGCAGCGATGGTGATATCACAGATGATGACAGATGCAACACCTGCGATTAGGTGGCCCGTTTCTCAAAGGTCGAGTACGATGAATTGGGAAGACTCAATAGGCACAGGCAGAAATGCACTGATATTAATGCACCAATGTTATGCTTATTGAGTGACAGAAGATCATCATAACTTTGACGGAATGGAGAAAGGAACGCTTTGAATGAATTGACTCTCTCGAAAGAAGGGTCTGAGAGAGAATGGTCTGACCAGTCTTCGACTCAATGGAGGAAAGCCTTCTCCTGACTGCCTTTTGATCTGGACATCCTTCCTCACCGGACAAGGGAAGCATTCGCTGTATAAATGGGCTTGAGATTGAATACAATTCTGTTACAAAGAAGTGCGCGGCTACGTGAACAAACTGACGGCACATTCCACCAGATCAACAGAACTTTACACGTATTTGACGGTCACAGAGCTGGAGGTCGTGCTGACGGAGGTCAGGATGCTGTTCTGCTCAATGTCAAGCAGCTGTGCGCCGCTCGGTCCGACGGTTCCACCCGAGGCGAGAGTAGCCTTGGCATTGGTGAACGTGACAGTGCCGAAGTTGGCGAACGGCACGAGCGAGCTTCCCTCCTCAAAGTCCTCAACGATCCACTCCGCGTTCTCGCCACAGAGTTTGCCGCTGCCGGAGAGCGACTTGGACACGCTCTTGCCGGTGGACTCGTTGGTGATGGAGACGCTGCCGGAAGTGGAGGACTTCTTGGTCGCGACGAGGGTGATCACGTCACCAGCGCTGACGGAGAAGCCGGAGAAGTCGCTGGCAAACGCGGGGTAGAACTCGTACCAGGCTATTCACGACTTCAGATCGGCGCACGCGAGATTGTATGCAAACAAAAAAACTGACCGTCGAAGGAGACGCGGCCGCTGTCGACGTTGAAGTCGATGCCAGTCTGCATGATGCCGCTCGAGCAGGTGTCGCCGTCAATGCCGACCCAGGCGGAGGCCGCGTAGCTGCCCGAACCGCCGGGTGACTTGGGGGTAGGGACGGTGAAGGTGCCGGTGACGGAGGTGTACGTGCCCGAGGGGCTCTCGAAACTGGCTCCGGCCCAGTTCTGGCTGTAGGAGACCTGGGAGGTCGAGTTGGAGATGAGGTTCGCGTGCGGGCCCTCAGACGGGAGACGCGGGCCAGACATGCGGCGGCGGGCCTGGCGGCCTCCGATGTTGCTGCGGGGAGCCGCGAGGGCAGCAGCGGCGAGGAGGAGCGAGACGAGGGCAGAGGCAAAGACCATTGTGAGCTGGAAAGGGAGAGAACCTGGATAGGACCTTGGATGTCCTGCTCACAGTTGGCAGCTTTTTATCTGCTCGCATTCAATGTCCGCACTCAGTGAGCGCTCTCCAAAGCCTCGCATGTACTTGATTGTCCTATCTCCACTGCAATGACGCGCACAGATAAGCGCGGTTCATATGCTCGCGCGATGCTTTTGAACAGTCGTGAGAGGCATAATTGCTGCCATCTGGACTCAATGATTCAGAAACTGGGTTCGCAACATATGCTAATTCACGCGTCTCCTTGTTCGGCCATGCTCCACAGCCCCACGATGGCCGTGACGAAAGCTATAAATAGGCTGACCTGGGCAAGGTAGCACGCGGAAAACGCCCATTTGACAGAAATTCGGAGCCGGACAATGTGCTTGATAGCGCAGCCAGCGCTGAAGAAGAACGGAAGACGCGGCTGAATGCTGGAAGCATGCAGAAGGAAGTCAAGAGGTGCGTGATGGTGCTGAGTCACAGCTCGTGATTGTGCACACGATCACGAGAACCTTTCGATCTCTCAAGCTACTTCTGTTTGGGGACTGAGATATTCCCAGTTTCAAGACATAAGTTGCACTGAAGCACCGAATAGAACGCTGAGAGACGTTCTCGAAACGAAGTTCGAGCCAAGTCTTTCTCTCTATCCAGAGATCAGGGAATTGTTTCATCGCGCTGGAAGCAGTTCTCTGGTTCAAAAATGACAGAACTTGTTGACAAAACAGCCGGTTTCGTCATCGCAGAAACTCATTCATTGGTGGGGGAGAGATAACAACAAATAGGCAAAATATTGAATGTACCACGTGAGGACCCAGAGGACCTCTAAAGAAACCTAATACGAAACGCATAGAAGGTTTCCTCTCAGAGCTCCAGGAGGTCCCAGTCAGCCCTGTCGACCAGCGAGCCGCCGCGGGTCTTTCGTTTCCCTCTCATTTAACGAACACAGAATGTACGTGATTATACTTGTGAACCCTGCAGAGCTGTAAATTTAGGGCTGAGTAACACTGCCAACGAGCGCGGCGAGTTCGCCCTACATGGTCGCGATGAGCGCGACAGCAGTCCGCGTGTTGTTCCTCGTAAACGTCAAGTCCGGTCCGGTTTCGGCACGATCGGACATCGACACGTGGGCTCGACAAACGTGCGAATCCGTCGTTGCCACTCTTTCCTTCACCGTCGTGGATGGCGTGCGCATCCAAATTCCTGTAGCGTCTCTCAAACGGGAGCTGGGAACAGCAGAATTGAATTCCACCCTCTCGATCTTTGCACCCGTAACGCAAACTGTCGACTGGACAACTCGCAGGAAGGAGTCGGAAATGGGGCCGCGGTTAGGGTGGCCGGAACTAGGGCAAGGATTACAGCTGGCCGAGGCTCCTGGCAGCCTGGACTACGAGTATGCGAAATGCTAAGTCCGAGAGACGGTCAATCGGCGCCCAGTAAGCTTCCAAATGGTCTTCTCCAGCCGTTCGATGGCTCTCGACCGCGTCACCGCACCAACTTGAGCCCAGAAAGACACCGAAGCTAGCGCATCACACCGCGAGGACTGGTCGGCGAGGGATCCTCACGTATACATTCATCATGCCAGGGCACACATCTGTGATGCAGCGGCACGTAAAGCGGTGATCTTTCCGTGGCGCATAAAAAGCAAATGAGTCTTTCGACATACCGGCAGCAGTCCAACTCCTGACTTTCTCCACCTCAATGCGCCTTGCAATCTCCGCCTCCTCCCTGTTCCTCGTCCTGTTCAGCGCCGGCTCGGCACTCGGAGCCTCGCGCACGTCCCCCCCAGCCGGCGCGGTCGTCGTGCGCGCCGGCACGTCCGCCTCCGGCGAGTTCGCGACGCTCAGCGCGGCGGTGAAATCGCTCGACTCGAGTAGCAACGTGACGATCTTCATGTACCCCGGGACTTATGCGGAGCAGGTGGACATCACGCGGGCCGGTCCTCTGACGGTGCGTTACCCCTTACCTCCCTTGGCGTTTCGCCCCGTGTTTCCCCCAAAGAAAACAAACAAAGGCTGAGGTTCGGCATTTCCGCTGCAGATCTACGGATACACCACGGACACGTCGACGTACACCGCCAACCAGGTTGTCCTCACCGCCGGCCAGTCGCTCAACTCCGCGGGATCAGATGACGCGAGCGGCACCTTACGCGTGCACAAGAACGACTTCCGGATGTACAACGTGAACGTCAAAAACACGTTTGGAGTCGGCGCGCAGGCGATCGCGATCAGCCAGTACGGGACCCGTGTGGGAATGTATGCGTGTGGGTTCTTCGGATATCAGGACACGGTCTATGCGAACCAGGGCAACCAGGTGTATCTCAAAAGCTACATTGAGGTCTGTGCTTCTTTGGTACAGGGACCCACAGCTGAGATTTCATTCTCAGGGCGCTGTAGACTTCATCTTCGGACGCAAGGCTTCTGCCTACTTTGGTGGAAACACTATCGCCGTGAACGGGAAAGGATGCATCACTGCAAGTGGCCGCCAGTCGGATGATGCCAATAGCTGTGAGCGCAAATTTCTCAGATCAGGCTAACGGGCTTATAACTTTGCCAGATGTGTTCGACCATAACACCGTCGTCATCGCCTCCGATGCCAAATCGGACCCCTCCGGCCAGATCTTCTTTGGTCGGCCATGGGGCAATTACGCCAAGTATGCATCTGTTGCTCTTCATTCTGACTAGGAAGCTCATCTCTGCCCAGGGTGATCTTCAAAAACACCGTGGTCAACGCAGGGCTTCAGACTGCCCTATGGTCGGTCTGGAACCCTACAGCTCCGAACACTGACCACATCCTCTTCGCGGACTTCAACACGACGGGCTCCGGCGCTGCCCATCTGTCTCGCGCAAATTTCTCGACTGCGCTCAGTGCCTCGCAAGCTGCGCAATATGATATCGCGAGCACTGTAGGGAAGGATTACGCTACCTGGGTCGATTTAGCCTACTTTGTTTAGTTCTGCGGAGTGTTTCGTCTAAAAGGTGAATAAGATAAGATTATAATCTGTGCAGAAGGCTCCATTCTCTATTCATTCCACACGGCGTGTTCTAGATCATAACAGAAAAATGCTGCGTGCGTCCTTTGGCGCTACAATACTTCAGCTGCCCTGTAGCAGCTGATGGCCGTCCATTCACGAACTTCTCATCGTCCTCTGCACGAAAAAGCAGCCCGACAAAGAACCCAGCGCACGAAAACGCAGCCCAGAGCGCTGTTAGGCAGTTGATTCTCGCTACAATTTCCAATAATTTTCCATGTCAGCTTTTTCAGATCACGACTTTGTTGGCTTCTGTGGGATCCCAAATCAACGCATCGTCTACACACCTTGCCACTCGTGTTCTCCTGACCACTATGTTGACTCGGTGAAAGAGGTAGCTAAATCGTTATCACGGGTACAAGAAGTGGGGAAAAGCTTCTGATCAAGTGGCAGGACAGTCCGACAACATTGCTGAGACATCGTTCGAGTAGGACATGCCGCTATCCTGTGTTTGTGGAATTACCCGAAGAATTCATCCATGATCCAGTGTGGAAGATTGCGTGAGTCTCCTGGACCGCGGCGTCAAGCTAATCGAATCTAATATGGAGATGGAGACTAGAATAAAGGTGAGCAGTTTGACCACCATTTCCCAACTCCATACGCCAATTGATCTGCCAAGACGATCTAGAGCCGTCTTTCTGACCATGCAGGCAGGCGAGCCCCCACTCCAGCGTTGTTAGCTCATCTAAGCTCGACGAACGTGATCGAGTCTGGACGCGTGGTCGCCGCAAGGGATCAAGCACTCGATGCCGTGCTCGCGGCAGCGGGCTTGACCTCATATGTAGCTCGGAGAGTTCTTCACAATGCCGTCCTGAGCTGCGGCTCAGTGGTTGGATATGAACTTACTCTGGAATCAACAAACTCTGACCAAAGGGAAGGAGCCGCCGCTGGTCATCCAGCGTAGAGCCATACTGGCCCCGCATTGACGCGCACGCTGTCATTTCGGCACGGCCGGTGCGTTTCAAGTCCAGATGTTCCTGAAACTGCAGCAGGCTAAGTCAAAATGAGAGCTATTCTTCCATGACACGAGGCTGAGTTCCCTTTACATAAAAACGTGTTTCCCTGCATCCATGGGCTCCAGCTTGCTTTGCACCACCACAGCGCATCTTTGCGGTGCTTGATTCGCACAGGACGTTCCACGTCCAGATTGTCGAGTAGCCGATCGCTTCTGTGTCGCTCAGAGACCTCGACTTGACGAGCGAGAGCATGGACGCGGTAGATCACGCAAGCGCAGCCTGTCGTTTCCGCATCCGCCATCGGCTTTAGGCTCGCCAGATCTGTACTGGGCGGAATGCTGGCTCATGCAGCATCCCGGCGCCTGTCTCCATCACCCGATTTCCATGAGATCGCGAGCACGGCGATCTTGATCACGTCGGCGTGTTTCCCAGCACACCCGTAATCCTTCGTCGACTGTCGATGGCACTATCGATAGTGACTGTTATGACGGCCGGGGATGTGTGGTGAGGAGCAAAGCAACGAGGTGGGGACGGGGTCAAGACGATGGGTTTTACTGCGTGGTGAGGATTGTGCACCATCCCGCAACAGGCGACCTCGTGTCGTCTTGATTGTATGCCCATGGTTCCAGTGCGACAATTTTTGGATTTTCTCCCTCCCTTCTGGGCTGGACTCGATACATAACAGTTTGTCCCTATGTATATCGAGGCCGTAGAAGGGTCAGGTCCCATGACCGATATATGAGAGAAAGGACCAACGTGAATCGGTGCGCTGCGATTTGGCTGCGCTTCAGCAAGGGCGCCACAAAGCCTTCTGAGAGATGGATACGGATTGAGTCGCCAACACTCCGAATAGGCATCCCGGATGTGTGCAGAACTGGTGCTCGAAGTGGTCTTAGTCGATCCGTTCCAAGTCACGCTGTCACGGCCACTTTTCTCGTGCCACCGCCAGCGACTACTGATAACGATGCCCAATGCAATCCGACCAGCACCTGCGACCGAGGCACATGAAGCTCGTTCAGCGTCTAGTTGAAGAATTCAAGAGAACCACACCCCTCCACCGTCTCTTTCGTTTGGCTCGCCCGCACCACGTCGTCATCAGCTTACACCACTCCCAGTCGTTAGAGAAGTTGCCGCGCCAGGTCGCTATGTCAACCTGCAAGCTATGCTCCAATGAAATGCCGATATGCTGCCGGAATTGGAGGACGTGGAGTCCACTAAGGAGACATTCATCTGGTCGATCGTCCTGCGGAATTAGCACCAAGCTCCTTCTGTTTCCGCCGTGCAAGGCCTTCCGCTCACCTCCAGTGAGCATCTCCTCTCCATGTGCGATATACAAGGCTCACTTTCTACAGATGATTAGGCTCGCACAATCACCTCGCTCGCACGGTACCAGCCGCCTACCTTGGGCATGCCCCTTCCTTACGTTGTGGAAGGCCAGCTGAAGCAGGGACGGCTCGTGGACGTTCTCTGTACCCTCGAATGAAGGAAACACTGGCTCTGCTTGACCTGCGGCTCCACAAAGCCTCCTTCGAATGGCGGGAACCATGAATTTGCGGACGGACGGATGAGATGCTCTCAGCGGGAGAGTCGTAGACACCCCCGGGGGTGGGTAATGTGCTCCGGGATGGAATAGAATGGCTTTTCAAGCATTGCTCCTTCCCACCGGTCTCCGCCTCGAATTCGGCTTCCACCCCGAAAACTGCCAGCGAGCCTCTGCCCCGGGTTTCTGCGGGGATCATCGAACGCGTGACGATCGGTAGCGCATCACCGTATCTCTTCTTCACTGAGCCAGATCTGAACGTGAAACCTGGAGGTCGTGGATGCGATGTGGGCGTCAGACTCACTCCGTCATTGGATTACCTCGGACCTTGCTGGCGTTCGTCGGCGAAGTTCATTGGGTGTAGTCAATGCATTGTCCTATGGTATCGCGCGCATTCTTAGTAGCCACACACTACCGCCATGTCCTAGTCATTTGTCCATTGCTCTTCGTAGTCGGTCCTGGACATTTGCTAAGCACTGAGTATTCTACGGTGTCTGCTACGAGTGGTAGAAAAGTAGATTGTCGATGCCTGTCGTGCCGAGCGGAAGGTAGTAAATCCGAAGGGCCTGCATCTGGAGTGATGTGTCAATGAGGAATGCCCAAGCCACGTGAGGCTAATTGAAAGCTCCCTCTTTCTTCCCTCAACAAATGCCTGCGCAGTAAACTATAACTTCCCAATCCCGATCCGCTGCACTGACATCAGACCTTTAGCAGAATTCATCCAAAGATACCCGACCTCGGTGCTTCGTCGTTCACATTGTCTGACTCGTGTAGCAATGCCCCAACCGAATCCGAGGTGGATTTTTCCGAATTGAGCAGCGGATCCGACTCCTCGTCTTCCCTCTCATCCGCATCTGAATCGTCGTTCAAGCCCTATACCCCCGGCATCCAATTCCAACTCGAATCTCTCCGCGCCGAGAACCTCTCCCTGAAACAGCTCAACGCGGAGCTGCGACAGATCACGGTAGCGGCCCAGTGGAAAGCGAAGCATAACGCGCAGCTGCGTGTGCAGGATTACACACAATATCAGACGGAGCTGGAATCTATCGAGCGCGCAAACGATCTTCTGAGTCAGGAGATGGAGCATGAGCGCGGGCGCAGGAGGGAGGCTGAGCGGATTCTAGGGGAGATACATGGGGGCTTGACTAATGAAGAAAAAACGGAGTTGGCAAAGGGGATTTCCAAGTTCAAGCCCGAATCAAGACAGTTGGCGAGGATGATCGAGTTTCTATCTCTAATCGTTCCAGGTCTAGATGAGGTCCGCGACAGCTGCCTCTTGACCATCCGATACAGACCCTGACATTTCTCGTTGCAGTCTACCACAGAAACAGAGCTCGAAATCGGTTCACTTCCAATCACAGCGCAATTGAAACTGTACAAGTTTGTAGTTTTGAAACAGGAGCTTGAAGACTGGTAGCCGAAGATGTATTCAACCTTCCTTTCCATGGAATACGTTATATCGCGGACAGTTTGTTACAGAAATACATGGTTTGGTAACATATCCGAAGTGTAGCGAAAAGCCAGAATCGCAACGCTATTAGCGAATCTCGAAGCGGAAATAGGCCTTGTCCGCCACCGGACCACATGCGAGACAATTCAACATCTCGGTTAGTGTCTGGGGATCTGCACTAATAATTTATCATGCGGTGAGTAAAGGATCCTGACGCAGATCCAAGGGTGTTGGAGTTAATAACGAGTATTGCGGCCCGCAAAAGTCAACAAACTGTGTGTCGAGCGAGTGCGCCAGCTCAAACCCTCATCGAAGTTGAGAGATCCGGGAAAAAGCGAAAGAAGGCGATGCAGCCGAGCCCATGCCCTTCATCATGATGACCGAGGGCAGGAGAAGCGGACGGAGGTGTCTCGAGGGTCAATGACGCGCGACGACAATCGACAATCTGCAGTGCGTTAAGAGAACCGAATGACGAGAAGCCCCTGATTATGGGGACGAGTTGCAGGTGAGCGGCCACTGCAAAAGCAGGTTGTCCTCGCCCCACATGCAGCACGGCGGGAGACGACAGATGCGCAAGAAACCCAGATCGGGATTCACTCGGGCGTGCTGCTCGTCCCCTTCATCCCACTCTTGCAAAGACCGTTCACATGCGGATCTTCCCGCCGAGTTACACTCAGGTGCGATGGACCGCTCAGCAGCTGGCTCAGACATTCGGCCAGCGCATGGAGTTACCAGAAAGCGCATGTCTCATCCGACGAGTTGACCAGAGGGAGAGGGAGGGGTTGGGAAGCGCACATCGGGGTCCGGTCCGCTTGCATTTCCTTCTTGTGCAACCGAGGAAAGAGGACACGAGGAGATGGATGCTGTACTGTGGAAGCATGGGTTAGCGTGTACCCGACTGCACGTAGCCGGATGCACTTCAAGCAGCACGCCGAGGGCGATATCAATGAGTGGTTCGTCCCAGTGCTCAGTAATGAGCGTAGAAGTGGCGTGTAGGCGTCGTCACTGGATTCCGGGACGTGGCGCGATAACGCCGTTTTACAGATGTATGCTTATGGGCACCCGTGAGAGGACTCTAGAAATGTGGCCACCTGTTGCAGCGGAAGCACGAGAATGTGGATGCGAAGGATGTATTCAGTGTTCTCATCGACTGGCGGTCGTACTCGGACAGCAGCGTCTCGGAGGATCAGAGGAAAGCTCCGGTCACAGACACATCACAGTCACGCCTATGCTGGATCACGAGCAACTGACACGTCGCGCACGTGCCCCGAGGGGAATTGTAGGAGTCAACGAGCAAGACGCAAGTGCAGTTTTGACCATTGTAGTGACATTCTGGCACCCAAATTGAATCGCCAGCAGAGAAGAGAAATGGAGATTACAACTATTGACCGAGGACTTGCAGAAATGCACACTACTCAGCAAATTGAACAAGGACTTCAGCAGATTCTTATTGACATGGTCGGTGTTGTGTTGAAATTAGGATCACGGAGTCGACTCTAGGTAAGGACATTCGAGAACAAAGCTGATGGACCACGAACGAGGTGGGCTTTCGTGGAATGTTTCAGAAACGAAATGAACACTCAAGACAGGGGTGGAAGAGAACAGGTGGAGATCGATCAGTGGTGCGGTATTTGCCGAACTGACCTTGACTCGAACTGACTTGAAGCTTCGTTCGGAGCCGCAAAGGGGATAAAATCACAGGCTCTCCAGCTTTCGACCTCCCAACGTCCTTTTACTGCCCACCATCACTATGTCCCAATTTGAGAGTTCCACGTTTGAGTCGTTGCAGTCTGCTTTCGCAGCTGGGTTAGACACCAACTCCATCCCCTCTGAGTGCCAGTTGGAGCATCCTCAGTCCCTCATCGCCCAGTCTCGCAACGGGATGACTTCCATTTCTCACCCCATAGCCCAAACCACGTCCGAAGAGGCAAAAGGGACGGCTTATCTCCTCGGCCACGAAGCCTCACTCCCACCCGTTGTGCGCATGCCCGACGACGTCATCCGTGAGATCTTCCTCGCCTGTATGCCCGAAGACCGCAACTGCGCCATGCGGGCCAGTGAAGCACCGCTTTTGTTGGGTCGTGTTTGCAGCGCATGGCGGTCAATCGCGTACTCCACCCCCCGGCTCTGGTCGAAGCTCCACGTCGATGCGCCCCGCACTCCCGGCCCGCTTGGAACTCGGGGAAGGTGGGAGGTGTATCGCAGGAAGTGGGCTGTCCGTGCGGACGTGATACGCACGTGGCTAGGCCGCTCGGGCGAGGTGCCACTTTCGCTCAGCTTCAAAACGTTCGACGACGCCGATGGGTCGCCGCACGGGTCCGCGCATATCGAACCGCTCATGTCGCTTGCCCGTCGCTGGGCTGACGTCGATTTCAAGGTCAACCGGGACGAGCTGGCACGGTTGGCGGAAATCCAAGTGGGAGACGTTCCGAAGCTCGAGCGGGTGAAGGTTACTACGGTCGACAGCCTTTGGGTTAACGATCTGTCTGCGGCGGCTCTTCTCCAAGCTCAGACGGCTGTCCCAATGCCGCCGGTGGAGGCTGGGACACATCAGCTTTGGGCGAAACTGCAGATCCTCGGTGCGCCGCGTGTCTCGCATGTGGCCATTGATACTGACATGCTTCGCGTTCAGGATCTGCCGTTTGCTTCATCGAAGTTGCATTCCCTGACTGTCATTACTGCGGGTGGAGATTCGGAAGTAGCATCTGTTTCGGCTGATGACCTACTCGCCGTCCTCCTTGCCCAGCCTCAACTCCAGACGGCTCGCTTCACAGTTGATGACAGTGCCATCCAGGGGCACCTCCCTTCCGTCGTCCTTGCCAATCTGCACACGCTCGAACTCCACGTACGACGTCGCCGGAGTACGTCCCGACAACCCATGGCGTTTCTCTCGTCGATCGAAGCGCCGAATCTGCGCTGTCTTGAGATCAGACACTGGGGACGCCAGCCTCGCTCACTCCGTCGGCTCCCTGATGCTTTCCTCGGTCTCCTTGGACGCCTTCCGCAACTCGAGTCAATCCACATCACCAGCGATTGCATGCGCGCCGCTAGTGTCGAGCAAGCACTGGCTGCGCTTCCTACGTCAGTGAAGCATCTAAGCCTGGAGGACACTGGCGCTGGAGTGTTGATGAACCTGCACAACCCGTTCGCGCATCCAGTCTCCAGGCGTGCATTATCGGCACCCACGACCGTTCCTGGAGCTGCCCTGTCGGCGCTCGCCACTTCACCGACGATCCTCCCAGAGCTCGAAAGCATCAGTCTCCGCGCAAAGACTGTCGTCCAGCTCACGCCCCTGCTGATCAAGTTCCTCGTTGCTCGTCGGCATCTCGGACCAGAGAACAACCTCAACGAGCAGCAGGCTCGCACCACCCTCGGTTCTGTCAAAACGAGCTTTGCGCGTCCTGTCGATCTGGACGCTGTAGTTTCCCACCCGCTTATCCAATCCTACCTAGCCAGCGCTGAAGGCTCTCAACTCAAACTCGATATCGCGCAGGACCAAGAACAAAGGGACGTCCAGATTCAGGTCCTGCTGGCTGCGCAGGCGCAGCAGTGGGATATTGGTGGGGGGATGGGGGACGGAGGGTCTGACGCGTACTTCCCCTGGAATCCGACTGGGTCACCGCAGCTCGCAATGAATGCGCTGGGCTTGCCGCTGCTCAGTGAATCCCAGACGCAGACGCCGGTCGATCCGGCTCCGCATTTGCCTCAATCGCCTACTCGCTCGAACGCTTCTGGTCTGCAAACAGACGCCCAATGAAGAATGACTGATGCGGTCTCTGGTCCTAACGCTCAGTGCCAGTAGTGTCTATCTATTTAGGTTTCTCCCAAATCTATGTCCCTTTGTCCCAGTATACCCAAGTCATATTTAATCTACATTTTTCTTTTGTGATGTCTTGTCTCAGTCTCAATATATATTACCCTTGGATCAATAAAGCTCGTGTGCACTCGCAAGTGTAAACTCCCAACAGATATTGCTGTCCGTAACGTCGTGATGTCACGTAGCTCAGCTTCACCACCACTTCACCGATCACTGATGAGCCTGTAACTCGCTCTTGCTTTATGCATTGGAATTCGGGTCTCTGTTCGCTCACGAAGTGGCGCATCTGCCTTGATGCCCCTTGGTGCCTTTGCTAGATGGAGGTGTATGAGCATCCCCATGACCGCTAGTGCTATTGTTGGAGGCCAAAGGCTTTCTTCGACTGACGTTGGTGGAGATTGCCCGGCGCGTTCTGTGCTCAATATAAGTGCGAGGTATGGGCGGACTGGTGCTCGACGCATTACCACTGATGTCTGCTCCTCCCCAGTCCGTCGGAGTCATCTCCTTCCACCAAGTCGCGCCTGGTCTGAACCTCTCCCAAGAGGAGCTGTCGCAGCGCGTCATGGGAGTCGCAGATGCGGTCAAGAACCTGCCTGTCTTCAAGAAATGTTTCACCGAGTTCGAGATGGTGAACGCGCATCCTCCGTCGAGCCACGTCTTTGATACTGACTGAAGGCGTGGTTCTAGGTTTTCCCCAACGACGAGCTGGCTGGTATGGCTGACACGCTCGGTCTCCCGGGACGCAAGACCTCCGTCATGGTCCTGGCCCTTTCTCCGACTGCCGACCACTTTGTCGAGGTGCGTCCGGTTGCTTTCACCTCCTGCCCATCCTAACTGACGCGACTCGACAGCTCTTGACGGACCCCGTGTTGCGAGAATCCTTCGCTAAGGGCGAGAAGGAGTTCGGCTTCATGTCAAACAGCTTCTTCTCCATTGCGGACGTCGTCCGCACTGGTGCCGCGCCGGCCACTGTCCCCATCGAGGGGGAGAAGAAGGCGGCAGTAGGATTCCTGCGGTTGCATCCGAGTACCTCGCCGCACGACCACAGTGCTGAGATCATCAACAACTTCGGCAAACTCTCGGACGGGTCGGGTCAGGGTCGGTTCGCAGCCGGCGTGTCAACGGTACGCTTCACCTCTCGCTCGCACACTCGCGGCATGAGCGGAGACTGATGAGGGATGGGGGTGCTCGTAGTGGATCCCCCACCATGTGGCCGCGCCGCAGATCCGCGCTCTGGGCCTCAGGACACTCGAGGACGAGAACGTTGTGATCTCGGTCGCTGAGGTCAAGGTGAACTTCTCCGTTCTACATCGGAAGACCGAAGCGCTGATCTTGATTCCTCAGGACGACTCGGTGTTCACCGAGGCCATGCATGTGCGTATTGCGCCCTCCAAGCCCCGCGTTCTCACGAACGAACGAACCATATCTAAAACCAGACTATCCACGAGCTCATCGGGAGCGCGGAGGAATCCGACGGTGCTGGTGGCAAGATTCAGGACGGCAGCTACTATTCGGCTGTGCGCATGGTATCCAAGATCGTCAAGTAGTGTGATTGATAGATATCCCGAACGCTGTACAAATAGTTGCTCCGTTTCTCGAATTTCTTGTGAATCCGTGATGAGGTCGTCACCGGTGCCGTCCTTTCTTGCAAGAAAACCATCACATGTCCCGAGTCGAACCTCAAATCGCATGGCTTGACGTTCAGTAGACTTCAGATCCTACGTTATAGCTACCGAGATGCTTCCCTCCCCATGTCTTATATGAGTCTATCTCCGCCTCAGGACAAGCTTTACCTCCTACACACAGACCCAACATGACCGCTCCAGCTGCGCGTCCCGCAGGCACCGTGGTCATCCACGAGATCCCCCCTGATGTCCCACGCGACGAGTTTGTTGCGCGCTGGATGGCGATGGCCGAGAGGCTGACTCGGCACCCGCTATTTCGGGAGACGTTCACGAGCTACGAGACGGCGAGTGGCGCTTTGCCACTGGGTATACAAGAATTCACGGGACAGGTTACAGGTGGTTCCGAACGACGAGCTTGACGTGGAGCTGCGTAATTTGGGTCTGCCGCAGCGCAAAGTCGTGCTGGCGTTGATGAAATATTCTGTACGTTACGCACGTTTGCTCCTTCCTTGGTTGACGCGGATCATTCCATGCGACTTAGACAACAGCTAAAATTAACGCTGTAAGTTACTGTCCCAAACATTCACAAGTTTCAAATCTAAGTATCTGGTGTGCATTTCTAGTGGCGCACGGACCCAGAGATCCTACGCATCCTCGACGAGAGTGAGGCCGAGTTCGGTCTCTGGCGGACCTTCCGCTCGTTCGACGCGGAGATCACCGTCTACCGGGACTCTGGCGTGGACAGCACGGCGCACAACCTGAAGCGAACTCTCGCTGTCCTCTGCCCCTTGGGCGACGAAGATGCAGAGGCCGTAGTGGCTACGGCACTCGCACAGGGCGTTGCAGCGCAGTCCCTTGGGTTCCAGGACCTCGAGGGACCCCGTGCACTTCTGGCGGGCAACTCTACGGTCCGTCCTAGTCCTGCTGTTTGCTATTGGCGTATTTGTAGCATCCGATTGACTGTTTCCTCGTCTCAGTGGGTCTCTACCACGGATTGGGCGTCCGGGCCGGGCAACGACAAGTTGATGCGTGGAGCCGTATTGGCGGTCGGCGAGGCGGTGGTGAGTTCCATTCAATGCGTGATTGATTTGCGCTTGACGGTGCTATGTCGATAGGCGTGGGATTCGTATCGCAAGGTACGCTTCGGCCTGTTAGAGGGCCATCTGATCTGACCCTCCACGGCCCGTCGTACTGTATAGATGCTCGCAAACGCCGACACGTTCAACTTTGCGGCCCGGGCGGTCCGGGAGTTCAACTTTGATCCCGTGACGTCGTTTGCGGCGTCGGTGGATGCGGTCCAGTGGATTTGACAACCACGTACTCACGGCATACAATGATATATGCTTATTTTCTGGACTGCACATGAAGTAGTACGTCAGTTCGGCCACCGGTTCTCGGCTACTTACCAAATAACCAACTTTATCGATATCAAGATACCATCATACGGCGCCTGCATGACGAGTGGGTGGCCATATCCGATATAGATGTCGATATTAAGCTCGAAAATGGCTCGATACACAGCTGTGCTGCGATGCGTGAATATATGAGGATTGATGAGTCCAGCGATGTCGGCCCGATATGGCCGACGCTTGTGAAGCCGACCATACCTCCCAACTCTCACATGTCATCTAGATAGGAAAGGTGGGCCACCTACTCTGCGATGATGCCCTGCCATCTCCGATCGACTTGTGGGACCTCTGTGTGCATTTCAGCCGTAGGCAGGGCAAGGCTGTGCCGCGGGACACGGAGGTTTCAGATCTGATATCTCAGGGCGCGGGAGAAGACTATGCTCAGGAGGTACCGTCCTCAGTTATACTTGCTTAGATTCTTCGAATCAAAAGCATCAGCCAGGCTGCGGACCGGTGATGTGGAAGAACAAATGGGCCTCTACAGCCTTGGAGGCAGAGCAGGTCGGAGCCCCGAGTCAAGGCTTCTCCCTTAAGCCCCCCTGTCAAGTTCTCACTGCAGTTCACGCCTCCATGCAAGCCACCAACAATAAGAATCAGCAATTGTCCTCAGTGAGCTTGTGATTGTATTTGCTGCGTTATGGTGCCGGTGGCTGAAAGTATCTGATCTGGGCCCCACGACACGCCGGCTTGAACAGCCCAATGATCGAGGGATTTGCACTGGAATTACGGCTGTCCTTCCCGCGCCGCCGCTGCGTGTACCGAGTGGGTGCAAAGATGCCTATCAGCTTCGAATGCTATTGCGCGGAAGACGGACTTGTGCTGCCGCGACTCTTCTCGCGATGGTTACGGTCCCTTGTGTTTTCTGACGGTTGTTCTTTGCGGGGAGGATCGAACAGGCTGTGTATTCGATTGAGCATGCATCTCCTCGCTTGGTCGGTAGGAACACGATGTGGACTGCGCTCACTCGACTGCCTCTAAAATTCAAACTCTCAATTTTTTCGATGAGATCTCATCGTGGAAGTCATCACACACACATAGTTCTTGGAGCATCAGAATACCAATTCAAAGCTGTAGTCCGGATTTGAATCCACAATCATCAAGCCTGCAGCACCTGCGACGCTCGTTGTTTCGAGGCTGACGATTGCTTCAACAGCAAAGGTGTGAGTCATGCACAGCTTGTGGGATGGAGTCCCCTCGCCTTCCGGGCGAGTCTGTCTACAGCGTCGATACTGCAATCTGAGACTTCGAATCGGCATGGGCAAGCCTTGGAACAGCCCACGCTTGGTTTGTTATTATAAAGAAACGCCCTCCGTCCCCACTGTAACCCACCGCAAATTTCTCGCACGCGCCTCACCCTCCTGCATTCCCAATCTATGCCTCCATCTTCAAACGAGCGTGAGCCGCGAGAGCGAAACCCGGTGGCCTGCAAGGCTTGCCGAAAAAGCAAGGACAAGGTAGGCATCCCTGACACCGCCCCGGCTTGTCTGCTCCCGCAGCTGACTCCAAGCCCAGTGCGTCCCGACGGACGAGTGCCGAGCCGAGCCGTGTAAACGGTGCAAGAAGAAGGGAATAAAATGCGAGTTCAAAGAGGTCCGGGAGGACGTCTCCAATTCCCCAACGGTCCCATATGGCAAGAGCAAGATATACTTCGATCCACCCGCGCCGAGGTGCGGATCAAATGTCGCCTCGTCGCGCCTCCCGACAAGGCCGAGGACTGCGGACTCGTGGAGCGCCCGAACCCACGCACCCCCACAGGGAGACCCTATTCCTAGCGGGGTGTACCTCACCGATACACATCATCCCTCCGCCTCGACGGCACGATGGACGGGAGCGGCCGGCACAGCACGCCCGGGCACGCCCGGGTACGAATATGGGATTCACATGCATCCACAGCATCCCGCATACGCAGAGTACCTCCGACATGACACCCACGCGCCAATGGTCCAGCAGCGTCTCCCCGCGGCGCCTCGATACGACTACGCGCCCAACTACGGATATGCGCAGCAGACCCAAGGGTACAGTCCCTTGACGTTCCAGAGTGCCGCGACGTACTGGCAGCCTTCGCAAGGGCAGCAGGATCAGCAGTATCGGAATCCCGGCACAAGCGGTGGCTACCCGTACCAGCCGTGATTTCGGACTGGATGGAACGACATTGACTGCACTTGCGGGACGTCTAGAAACACGAGAAAAGACAAAATATAACATGAATTAGCTCATTAATAAACTCTAATTGACATTCGGGATCCACTCGCGTCTGAAATGGAAGTAATGATAACTCGCGCGTTATAAATTCCAAGCCACGTGATTGCGTAAAATCACGTGGACTTTGCGGTCAACCGGCGGGTGTTCATTGTCATTGCTTGCATTGGAGATGATGCGAGACTGTGAAGCTCCAAGAGAAATTTCTGAAATCCGCAAGGGCTGTGGAGACAGCACAATCGGTCCGAGAGACCGTGGAGCAGTCGGATCAAGCGCTTTGGAGAGCCCATGCAGTAAAACGAGGTTCGGGTACCATGAGAGACAGCAACCCAAGATCAGAGTCAAGCCGCGCGGAGTTTGATTGAGATACATGCCCTCACCACAGGATTCGCGGGCAAATGCGGTCAGCTCGCTAGTCACCCGGGTCCACAGCTTTGCAGTCTCACCGAGGTGTTTCTGCCGCGAGGTTCTCAGTCGTGGTCGTGGGTACTTGAGGAGACTGGCCAGACTCATCTCTACCCAGTTGGAGATCCTGAACAGCCCTGTTTCTCTCTCTCGGTCTTCTTGAGGCCGTGTCGAGACGTGAAGACCGTGCTCTTCATACCAACGCCGATCGCCCCGGTCAGGACCGCGAGTCACACAAGCAGCACAATTAGATCAGTCTACAGAGCAGCGGATCCATCACTATCTCTAAATGGGTCCTTTCGGCTCGATCCATCTTGACGGAGAGTCTCTACTGTGCTTCTGGATAATCGATTTGAGCATACGAAGTCTCCAAAATGGACCAGTTGCGTCGATGAGGGCGAGGCCTGTGCGAAATCAAGGAATCTTCATTCCCCAAACCACCGAGCGGTCAAGGGTTGTTATTCCTGCCATTGATTATCCCGAGCCATGACGCAAGGGCTGGCACGTGCCAGCGACGGATCGATCAGATAAGATGCTTTCCCACTCGCCCAGCGCGGCGCCAAGCACCGCATCCGCATTACAAAAGCGCCAGGGACCAGCCGCCCGTGTAAACGTCAACACTCAGGCTAGCGGCCCGTGTCCGCCTGCAAGCAACTGCACACGTACTTACAAGGCCCAATATCCGCGGTCGCATCCCCATTCCCGTCACAGCTGTCTATCCCGAACGATCTCAGCCCACCGCAGTCGACAATGGCACGTCCATTCTTCGGTTGCGACGCGTGTGGGTCGTCCCACACGGCGACGCACCCGAGGAGCGTTCGCCCGATCCGGCGTAGGGCCTGAGCGGGTTAGTAGCTGTGTGGGGTGAGTTGCCGCGGAATATTGTTCCCGAGGAGGTGGATCCGCGGATGTTCGAGCACGTGAGAAAGAACCATGCGTTCGCGCAGGAGCGGGCCCAGATTGAATTACAAGCGGCTCATGCCCCGGCCGGCCTTGAGGCGCAGCGCGAGCAGAATGCGATGGACTTGATTGATGGGCCAAGATTGATTGGGCTTCGGTGAAACCTGACTCCGTGTGTAAGTATGTACAATAAACCCCATTCTGAAGCTTCGCTTGGACCAAAGTTGAGAGAGGCGCATCATCAGGTGACCGGATAGCCATCATCCAACGTTGATCAGATCTCCCTGCTTTCAAACAACAGAACATCCTGACCGTTTACGATCTTCCTCGTTCGTCTACTCTCTATTCAAGGCGACTCTAGACGCAGCATCCACTCATCTAGCCACATCGCTAGGCTATGCCGAGGGCTTCTCCCGTCGCTAGCGTTCCGACTGAATCGAACTGAACGATCAGATGATGACACGATCGCACCTGAAACAAAAAAGCTGCGGCAGTTGCAACTCCGCAGGGATCTGGTCACGACAGTTGCTGTCCATCTCGTTGTTTCGGCCGCTTTTAAAAGGCGGGACCCGCCTCGTTCGTTCTTCACCCTCAGACTCGATCTACTTTCGCTGGTCTCCCTTTTTTAGTCACTCTTCGAATTGCCTAGCCTCTCTTACATCTTGACTCAAGCCATGCTTTCCGCAACCCTCCAATCACTCTTGTTCGTACTCGCCGTGTCTTCTGGAATCGCGCATGCCGAGGCGAAGGAAGTGCGTCGCTTAGAGCTCAGCGCGCGCCAGGGCAGCCATCCGGTACGCTGTCGTTCTCGCCCCCGTCCTCTTCCTCCTGTCGCACGCGCCCCCGAAGATCCTCATCGAGCCTAACAGTTCACATTCGTGAACCGCTGCGGCGGCCCCATCACCCCCGTCATCGCGGACACCAAGTGCGGGTACAGCCCGCGCTGCGGCGACGCCGCATCCTACTCAGGCCCGCAGCCCGGCGCCATCGCCCCGGGCGCGAGCGCGACGTACAACATCAACACCGCGTGGGTCGGCCGCGTGTTTGCCTCGCACCCGCAGTGCGGGCCCAAGGGCGAGAGCTGCACGCTCGGGGAGTTCAATCTCGGTGCGCGGCGCTTTTTGCGGCTCCTTGAATCCGTTCGTTGCTGACCGGGATGCGCGCGTGGTGTGTCTAGATACCGGCAGCCAGTTCACCGCGCAGGCGTATGATATCAGCAATATCCAGGGCTTTACGGACGGCATGGCAATCAGCGCTGCGGGGTGCGCGGGTGTGTCGTGCCCGAATGTCAACTGTGGAGTGCGTTTCTGTTTACTTGGTGCTTTGTTTTGCGGTCCCTGACTTCGATATCTAGTGCACACAGGCGTATGCCCCGGGTGATCTGTCTGGCTGTGGTGCCGATTTGCCTGTCCGCGCATGTGGTCCGGGCTCTGTGGCTTTCACCGGTAAGTTCCACCTTCCCTGCTTTTCATGTGAGAAGGGTTATTTAGAAGTTTGACAGTTACGTGGTGTCCATGAGTCCTTGAGAATCACGGTTAAATTTACACCCGGGGCTCACGAAAACGAGTCGTCTCATCCATATTGTCTGCATGATAGAATTTTGTTTTTCACTAACACTGCGGGGGGACTTATTTTTTTTCCGCGGAGAACACATTACAATCTAGAAGTCCGATTTTCACCGATCTGTTCCAGAAAAAAAAAAAAAACTCAAAATAGATGTCGATTTACAGCTCGATTTTTACCACAAATAGACATATATTTTTCCCAAAAACAGAATTGTAAACTGATCATATTTTTTTAATCAATTCTCACTGGGGATAGACATTGATTTTTTGCTGAAGATAGAAACAAAGAAAGAATGATATTTTTCATTGAAAAAAAAAGATTAAATCACTCTATGTTTCTGTTGGATCTGACCCCGTTTCACATTGCACCCCAGGGAGCTCCAATTCATTGCGTCAAAGTGCTTCCAGACCCTCTCCAGAGGCCATCAAACCACCCCCTGGAAGCACTGATTGGAGGCCATCACTGGAGGCACCTCCCTAATTGGTTCCTAGCAGGACATTTCTCCACTGATGGTTTTGGTTGATTTGATGTGCTCTGGCAGTTATTATTCAGGCCTAGACAGTGTCTTAGCTCATTAAATTCTGTTCATATTGCTTCTGGTTGATGTATCAGCACTGCATAACATCCTTGGTTTGTGCACCAGAGCTCTCCACCTGTGTGTAGAGAGGCAAACATATTTGAACAATGTGACAAACAAGTAGCTCATGTACAGGCACCACAATGCAATTTAGCAGAAAAAGTGGTCTGCAGCGTCTGTTAAGGATATAGCTATTTTGCGGGGTTCTGCAAAAGAGACTAGTAATTTAAATTTGATAAATTGATGCACTTTGAGTCCAAATACTGGATCTCACTGTTCTCTACCCTCAGTAGCTCTACTACCATTCTAACAAAACTCAGTAAGGCAAATTGCTAAGTGGATGGGATGGTCAAGTGAGGGAGAGCATGACTGCTTCTTGTGACATGAGAGAGTGATGGGTGGCTGTCCCCATCATCACTCTCTCCTTCCTTCCACAACAGTCAATTCCTGTGTCTCTGATAGATACAGTGTAAGAGCCATCAATGGATGAATTTGTTCTGTAGTGTTCCACAGACCATGGTAGCCTACCATACTTTATAAATATGATCTAATATACTTCCTCCTTGTCCCAAACAAGTTCCACAGAACTAGAGAAAGCAGGTTGTGGACAATAAGCCCACTTGCTTCTGTTTGAGGTACATCATGACCTGATCAAGATTCCCCTTCTGCAATTGCGACCACATAAGTGAGCTTTTGGAAGCAAATTTTTTGAGAGCAATAGAAGGCCATACTAGCTACTATTTCTTCCTATTATACTAAGAAATTGGACCAGCATAGCGTGAGCTAGAGGTTGCACAAGGCTCACATGTGAATGAGCATGACAGCGCGTTTGTTGATTAGCTCCCACCGCCTTCCCTCCGAGTGGATCTTCTCTGTCTGGTAACCTAATCCCCATTGAGACTCTCCCATGTCTCATGGTCAACCACGCCAAGTCTGAACGTGTCAAAGGCCATTTGCGTGCACAGAAACAAGAAGAAAAGATCACACGTTGAAATGCTGAGGGCGTGCTCACAAGTGAATCTACTATAAAAGTAAACCCAAATATAAACATGTTCACACTCTGTCAGGGGACGCCGCGCTCCTTGGGCACGTGACCATGCACGTGACCCACTGCGCCCTCTCTGCCGACCCGTGCCTGCTCACCTGTCGATCACCCAGCCTCCTCCTCCTCCTCCAATCCTCATCTCCATCCATGCCGACATCCGCCCTCTCCCTCCTTCCCCCGGCCATCTCCCTCAAATCCCCGCAAGCGGTCTAGCCAAGCCCGATTCCTTGCACCAGGGAGTGCTACTGCCGTATGCACTCCTCCCCCTCCACTTCGGCCTTCTCCCCGCGGATGTGGTCTACTGCCGTACAGGCTCGTACCAGATGCCCTTGCGCTCATCTGCACCACCCCTCTTCCCAGTCGGGCATTGGTCCTCGCCTCCGATGTCTCCACTGGCCGGCCCGGCACTGGCCTGGCCACTGGGCTCCTCCAGTGTGGCCTTCCACTGTTGGTGTCTCAGGAGCTGGCCATCACTGGCCCCTCTGAGCCACTCACTATCTTATCTGGGTTTGTCATTATCTACTTGTCATCTGCCATTGTTCCATGGCAGTGATATCCCATCATCATCAGTCACTTGTCACAGCTGACTATATAGTGTGACACCTGGGCACATGGATCCTTGAACCGTTCTCTAAGGATCCCCCTCTGTGCTCAGGTGAGTAGTATACCTCCCTTGTATTTGATAGTCTCTAAGGATCCCCCTCTGTGCTCAGACTCATGTGAGGTTGTTGTGTGCTGTGTGCTCTCTTCCTTCGGGCTGGCAGGAGTTGCCCTTACACACTCCTCGTAATCAGCTTCTCAGTGTGTGAAAGATGCGAGGGCTTCGGGGTGGACAGAACACCAGTATCACAACTCTCAATAGATGCAGATCAATAGTCGCGGAAGACGAAGTCGACGACAAGAATTTATATATAGCAAACAATGGTGTCTCAACCGATATCTTCTATACGAATACAACCAACACTAATCCAATCACAACCAACAATATAACAAGTCAGAACTTAATACGAAGTATTAAGATCCCTTGTAGCGACAGCGTCCAGATGGTGACGCAAAGCCCGAATATCAAGTCGACGCACTGCCAACCGATACAACCAATACACTGAGTTGATGCACTGCCAACTAGTAGAACCAAAATGTCAAGTCGACGCACTGCCAACTGACACAACCAAAAGTACTGAGTCGACGCACTGCCAACTAGTAAACCAAAATGCCGCGTCGACGCACTGCCAACTAACAGCCAATATCCAATGTCCAAAACCCGAGCACAACTTGTCGACGCACTGCCAAGCAAGAAGTGTGGAACCAAAGTTCTCAAGTCAACGCACTGCCAACTGGCCAAAACAACCCAAGCACAACTAGTTAACGCACTGCCAAGCTAGAGGTGTGGAACAATCTCAACAAAGCCCGAAGGCGACGACACTAAATGCCGCGAATCCGACTTTTCTGGTATCTCAACTCAAACTCAAATCACAGTAGCTACAAGCGCTCAGAGAGCAACTCGTCGCGACCGGGCAGGGGTAGCAGAACTTCTTAGGGTGGAATCACGCGGCACGCAAATTGTACAAAACAATCTGAAATGAGAGTGATTCACAGTCTGGGGGAAAGCTTTCTAATACAAAGAAACGACGTGCTCCTTATACTGTCTACGACGATGCTTAGTAAAGTCCTGTACAACTGCATAGTAGCTACGCTATCTAAGATTGGTTGCCTTTTAGAGTAATTGAAAAGTTGAACGATCGGACAGGTCCTGATTGATCAGGACCCCGCCCCATAGTCCATATGATACTTTTGATGTGGGTCAACCCACCGCGTCATACTTTTGGAATACGACGTGCTGGATTGGCCGACGGGTATGTCTTGGCAGGTGAGTCCAACGTGGGTGCCCCGAGAAGCCGTATGGCCCTAGGCACGCCAGTCGTTCCTCACATGGTTTGGTTCACGGATCTAGCCGTGTCGGTCTTAGTGTGTTTGGGTATGGACGCGACTTGCCGTGACACTTGGAAGTGTCACCGCGACGTGTCCACAATGTCCCGTGATCGAATGGATCCTGACATGTGACAAGTCGTCGTCATGGCATGATCTGAGGAAACGTCCAACCCAAAACCAGGAGTTGCCGCGACAAGATCGGTTCAATCTTGTAATGCCAAGTCCTGTCCAGTAGTACACTGACTCCGTATTGAAATTGGATCAAGCTCTCAAAAATGAAAATGATATTACCACACTGTAGAAAGCCTTTCATACAAGTTTTCAGTATGGTGGATGAGAAGGGCTGGGAGGTCGCTTTTCCCCACCAGAAGTTTGATCCGATCAACAGCCATATCAACTGTCAATGGGAGCAAATGCCGAAAGCGTGTGATCCAATTTCATTTTGACAGCCGTCAATCCTAACTCTTTCCTCTTTGTTCTCGACCACAACGCGTCGACATGTTCTGAAACTTCACACACATAATCCTCGACCTCATGGCTGATACCTCCGCCCCAAAGAAGGCCACCATTGTCGCGTTGAGGGAGGCAGGATTGACGACAAGAGAGGTGGCCAAGAAGGAGAATGTCGCGCCCTCTACGGTGTCACGGATCGCGGCACGGTACGGTCCAATGCACGATTTCGAGGCTAAAGGTCCCAGACGCGGCCGCAAACCACTCTTTACTGAATGCGACGTGCGCAAAGCCCAGAATCTGCTGAACACTGGCTAGGCCAAGAACGCTACCGACCTCCAGCGCCATTTCTTTCCTGATCGACACGCCGACACCATCCACAGTTTGCTCCGAAAGCACGGGTTGAAGGCCTATGTTTGTCAGAAGAAGCCGCTGCTGACGAGGAAGCACATGCGGGATTGATTGGATTGGGCCAACAAGTATGCTCACTACGACGAGCAGGCATGGCAGGCCGTGGTGTTCTCTGACGAGTCGAAGTTCAATGTGCTGGGTTCAGATGGTCGGGAATGGTGTTGGAGAGCCTCGGGGCAGGCATTGGATCCGCGCTACACCAAGAAACGTGTCAAACATGGGAACGGGAGCGTCATGGTCTGGGGATGTGTCACGTCTTGCGGTGTCGGGCAACTACATCGCATCGAAGGCATCATGGATCAGTTCATTTACATTGACATCCTTTGCCAATCACTCCTCCCCACCTTTGACAAGCAGGGCCTTGACCGCCGCTCCCTCTATTTCCAGCAGGACGGCGATAAGAAACACACGGCACATTTCACTCTGGACTGGTTGAAGGAAGAAGGCATTGATTTACTGGATTGGACCGCAAACTCACCGGATATGAGCATCATCAAGAACCTTTGGGACCATCTGGACCGCCGTGTACGCGCTCGGAGCCCTCCGCCCAAGAATCGCAACGAATTGTGAGAGGCTTTGCAGGAGGAGTGGTACAAGATTGACCAGGAATTCATTGATTGTTTATACGGCAGCATGACGAGTCAGGTTCAGGAGCTCATCAAGGCAAAGGGAGGACATACTCATTATTGATGCTAGGTTTGTCTCATCTTTCATAGTCCCCATTGGAACTCGCGCCGCATCGAACTTCACTGACTTTCCAAAAGTGGAAATGAAATTGGATCACGCGATCAGAAAGATTCAGCTGCTCTATTGTAATGACTCAACGCAATGCCACAACTTTTTGAGAGTATCTAGAGTATACATTGACCTTGCTCTCATACATTTTTTTTGGGATCTTAGGCAGCGGTTTGCTCTTGGCAATGAATGCAAATCAAAACTGATGTTGATCCAATTTCAATACTGAGTCAGTGTAGTTGTAATATTGAGAACGTCGCACATTGCTCAGCCCTTCAGCCCAAGTTCCCATCTGCAGAGAATGACCCTTTTTGAGAAGTCGCCGCAACAAAAGATCCCTTTTGGGGAATTGTCACGGTCCAAGCGTCCATCACTAATAGCCCTGTGCCTGGTATAGACTCATAAGACCAATTCCACAGTAGTGGTCTGACTGCCTTGCTATCATCGACACTATCCACAGTCGTCGACTGGGCAGTAGACCCTTAAGCCCTAATGAGCGCAACACTGTCAACCGCGACACGATACACCAAATGGTTCGAGAGTAAACTCTGTAAAAAGCGCAAAATTACGCCCTTACAGAGCTGGTGCAGAGCGCGTCTGGTAGCCAGCCTATCACCACTTGCAGCAGCGGGGTGTGATTTACCATCAGAGTGTGAAACTGCCATCAGCAGCTTTCCTATTCACACCCACTCTGTATATACTCACAAAGACCACAATGGCAAAAACAGGATTCAATTGTTCAGGCAGTTCATACGCATTTCAGAACAGTGATTGATCTATTCAGATTTATCCCATCTTGTCCACCAGGCCAATGCTCATTCACCGGTGTACTCTTGGAGCATGATTGGGAATTTCCCAGTTGACACCAGGCCATCCTTTTTCAGTACAAAGGATTCAGGCCGCTGGACCACATTAGTCATGACGGGCCCAATGTTCTCTGCTCCAGGAGAGAACTGTAATGCACGAAGAAGTGTGAAGAGGATGGCCTTCTGTCTGTTCCAGATGCTTTGTTTCAGTGGCCCACTCTCAAACAAAAACAAGGAACACACTCAATGAGACTGAAGCGGAAGCCAATGCAGTGGTGCGAGCCAGCAAAGAATGTCAGCTGGTTTGCCCAAACACCGGGGACTGAGTTCACCGCCTCGGGGAGATTATCCCACCGGTCTGGTCTGTGAATCCAATGTCAAGAAGCTGGAGTATAAACCATATTGAGCACTCACTTGAACTCGAGGGCATCTTCTCCCCACGTTTCCTTTTCCGTATTGATAGCAGCAATGGGGATAGTGAAGACTTGACCTTTGCGGATGCTGTTTTTTCGGCAATGTTCAGCAACATGGATAGAGATGAGTAAAATATGACTGACGGGAGAGTGTTGTGCGACACGCCTTGACGATCCACATACGGCTTGGCAAGAGGCAATACATCGTCCTGGCTTGCCATTCTTTGGATGTAGACCACTGGAGCATACAATCTCAAGGATTCTCTGATGAATTTCTCGAGGAACGGGAGTGAATTGAGTTCGTCCATAGTTGTGACAATCAACCCAAAAACAAAGTCGAAAAGAGAAGTGAATTCGAAGACTGGAGAATACAACCAAGTAGCTACAGTATTTATACCCAAATCCAGTCTGAGTCATATCTACAACTAATGAGTCATAGGGCTATGTACCGCATGGAGCACTGGTCATGGGTTGTAGTAGAACCTTCCGGAGCATATGTCGCGCAGCCTCGAATCGATAGAGATAACCCCTGGAACCCCTAGCCCGGACCGTCTGATGCCGTGATCCGTGATAAGATAAGTCGTGCCAAGATAAGATGAAAAAGAGTCGAGTTATGACATTACCCCCTCTCTAGGGTCGATGTCCTCATCGACTAGGCCGATGGGCGTGAAGACGTTTTCGTAGGGATCAAAGAGTTGTCGCTGGGGATATGGAAGGCGCTCGTCTTTGGGTTTGTAGCGATGGATGAGATAATCCCAGTGTCCCGCTTCGAGCGTTGGCAGGAGGCGAATGCGTGTGTCTGGGTTGGATTGTTTTCTCTGCCAATCTCTCAGGATCTTCTTCGCGTGGGTAAGGTGTCGTGATGGTTCCCAGGTGTTCTCGCTGTGCGGCCATCCCTTCCATTTGACCAAGTACTGTTTTCCTCGGCCGACTTTTCGCTCTTTCACGATTTCTTCGACTTCCCACTCTTCTGCTCCTCCGATCATCTTGGCTACAGGCCTCTTCTCTCGGCGATGGGGGGGTGGTTCGTGATAGGGTGTCAACAGTGACTCGTTGAACACCGGATGTCTTCGGTCCGTGTCCGGTAAATCCAGCTTCCATGCAGCCGCTCCAACCTTCTCCAATATCTCGTATGGTCCTAGTCTCTTGTCGCTCATCTTCTTTGATGGTCGATCCGTCTCGATATTTTCCCCTTCTATGTACACCTTCATCCCAACCTTCAACTCCGGAACTTCTTTTCTTTGTTTATCGTAGTATTTTTTCATTTTTTCTTTTGCTTTTTCTAGTGCTGCTTTTGCTTCGTCTTGTATTTCTTTGATTCTTTTTACAAATTCCTCCGCCGACTCGTTCCTTGACTCCATCCGTTGCTCCACTCCCTTCCACGGGTGATATCCATGATTTGCATAGAATGGCGATATTTTGGTAGACGTGTTCATCTTGTCGTTGTATGCGAACTCCGCCATTCCCAGCCACTCCGACCAGTCCGTCTGATGGTAATTGACGTAGATGCGGAGATAATGCTCGATCTCCTGATTCATGCGTTCTGTCTGCCCATCCGTGATCGGGTGGTATGCGGTCCCCGGGTTCATTTCCACGCCCAACATCCGATTCGTCTCCCTCATGAAGCCCTTGATGTAACGCGAATCCCTGTCGGTGATGATCTTGCGAGGGATCCCGTGGTAGCGGAAGACTCGGTCCCTGGTTAATCGTGCCACTCCTTCGCTGCTGATGTCAGTACTAATTGGTTCGACATGGATCATTTTGGTGAAGGTGTCACACCACACATGAATTGCGTCATACCCGTTACTGACCGGCAAGGGTCCGATCTGATCCATGGAGATGATTTCCCACGGCGCGTTTGGAACTGCATGCGGGTGCAAACTCCCTGTCCTGGCTCTTCTGGTCTTGGTCCGCTGGCACGCCTCGCACGTCTGGATGTATTTCCGAATTTGGTTTCCCATCCTTGGCCACCAGTAGTTCCTTTCCACCATCTCCTGCGTTCGGTTGATCCCAGCGTGTCCGACCAAAGGGGTGTCGTGGTGTAGTCCGATGATCTTGTCCCGCAACTCCTCATCCCTTGGTACATAGAGCTTCCCATGATACGTGATAAGCCCTTCTTCCTTCTTCCATCCGACGAGTGACTTCTCTAAGGCCGCCTTGACGCTTCCATCAATTGATCGAATGGCCTTGATTTCATCGATTAGCTGCTGATCCTGTCCCTCGAATGTGACTTCTTGTGATCGGAAGAACTCGGGCTTCAGTAGCGTGACGTCCTTGTTGTCGTTCTTGCCCTGATCGTGATCTGCTCGTCGAGACAGGAGATCTGCCTTGCGGTTGAGTGCGCCGGGTCGGTGTCGTAAGGTGAAATCAAACTCCGCCAACTCCGTGATCCATCGTGCTTGCCGTCGATTGAGCTTCTGCGGCTTCCGGAAGTACTCAAGATTCTGGTGATCAGTGAAGATCTCGAACGTCTCCGTGGCTCCCAGTAGTAGCTGTCTCCATTCGTCCAATGATAGCATGATTGCAAGCATTTCCTTGTCGTAGATCTCGTAATTTCGCTCGGTTTCGGTCAATGCGTGCGAAATAAATGCGATTGGGCGCCAAATGCCGTCTTGGTTTTGGCTCAAAACTGATCCTGTTGCCCCTTCCGAAGCATCGGCTTCCAGACGATATTGCCCAGTGTCATTTGGCAGTGCTAGGACCGCATCCTCCGCGATTCTCTTCTTCAATCCATCAAATGCCGCATGCTCATCTGCACCCCATGACCATCCTGCCTTCCCTGTCAGCCGTGTCAATGGCTTGGCAACCTCCGCGTATCCCCGGACAAAGCGCCGATAGAAGTTTGTGAATCCGAGGAAAGCTTGGACCTGTTTGACGCTCTTTGGTTCCGGCCATTCCATTACGCCCTTGATCTTGACTGGGTCCATCCGCATCGAATTGTGTCCAATAATTA